ATGTTCAGTAGTCGGGGTCACTGTGCCGAAGCATACGATAGCAAGTGACTAATTTTGCGCATTTTTCATTGCCCAGTCGATTTCTGAGTTTAGTATGGATGAGTCCAAAATTCGAGAAGATTCTGTCAATGGAAGCCTGTCATTGAGGATAATGATAACAAAAGGTTATTGCAATGTTGCAAGGAAACTCTAAAAGGGTTTCCCAGGCTTTTTCATGTTTCATTTCTGTGTAAAATATTGAAAAAAAAATTGATAAGAAAAGTTTATTTTATGAGGCTTTCTTTTTATGTACATGTGCTTCTCAAAGCAAGATTTTATGAATAAAAGTAATCAATCTTGACGTTCTTCAGTAATGTAATATGCCAAACAAAGTGATGCTTTGGAAATGCTGAAAATTTTGTTTAGTACCTATCCTAATATTTTACTTCAAATAGTATGTTTTGATATAAACATGTTGGGAAAATGCAAGAATCAGTTCTTAAATATCGTTTAACAACTTTTTTTTTTCTAATTTTATTGCTCAAAAAGGAATTAATTTTAAATTATAAGCAGTTAAACTCAAATAAAAATACAGTTTTACCAAAACTATGGGTTTTTTGACATGACGGCAAAAACCATGGTAATAACCGTCATGTGTCAAAAACTTGCCAACCCTGGTTCCAATGAATAAGCAATTTTTCTCTTTCAAATACGTGGTGTTGTAATATAAAGGGACAAGAAAAGGCAACGAGTCCAATTTTCTTTCTTGACCAAAATATTAATTTACTTACACTGCTAGAACTAATAGAATGTTTTTTGTACATTAAGCTAAAAAGAAAAAACATTAGAGAACATAAATATAATTCATAGAACAATCTATTTAAGCTATAAATTTATTGAATCTTTTCTCACCTTTAAGTCTTACCCTCAACTCATCAACGCAATTGTGAGTAAGAAGACTGCGACAGGATACCTTTAACCTACAGGAATCGCATCGAACGACACTGTGAAAACAAGAGTTTGTCTCGTGATCTTTGATATCTTTCCTAACAAACATTTGCTTGCAGGGTTTGTTTTTACATTGTACTAATTCATACGGACAATCCTTGACATGGGACTCACAGCTTTCTAATGGAAACTTAGCTTTGCAGCCTCTTTCTGAATTATGACAACGGAGTATAAGTTTCATTATCATGTTTTTAACTATGGGGACAACTTCTTGTAAGGTTGTGCGTGTGGTCCTCTTGCGGCATATCGGACAGTTCCTGTTGGTTTCGAGCCACTTTGCAATGCAAGTTCTGCAGAAAACATGGTTGCATGGAGACTGAACTGGATCACAGAAAATTGCTTGGCAAATACTACAAACCAGTTCTTCGTCAGGAGGAGGGATAAAGTTATCGACTTGATATGCCCAAACAGGAGGAGCCATCTAAAAAAAATAATGATAATTAAAAACATGAAATTGAAAACTAATATTTAGAAGTGAATCTTGTTGGAGCAACATACACAAGGGATTGTCTAGCTGCCAAGATGCAGAGGAAAAAAATCCAGTAGATTTTCATAAATGTTGCGTAATGTAATGAATATTTTACACATAGGGAATTTTAGACAGTTTTATAGTCATCAATATAGAAAAACTGCAATAGTTTCCAGTTATGATTGACATTAAATATACTCGAAATGTTATGTATTATGCGTATTCATAATTTTGAATAGTAAATAAGCATTTAATTCATTAAAGGTAAATAAAAGATTTTTTTTTTAAACTTCAAAGAGAGTTTTGAATAAAAATAAACGGAACATTTTAGAACAAAAAAAAAGAAGCTCTAAACTGATTTCTATAAATGAGGTTCGCTTCGTTATGTATTAGTAACACTTATTTAAATATTCAAGCAAGCAATTATTTGGGTGAAAATTTTACTTCAATAGGGATCTTTCAGGAAACTATTACTAACAGCCATGGATTCTTATTAAGTTTAACTCTCCTCTTTTAACAAAATGAAATCTATTCTTTTAAATATTATCAATAGCGTGACAAGGGAATCTTTTAAAAATGAGATATTGCTTTAATTCGAAACATTTTGGTCCCCAGGTGCAGACATTCTAGTTTTTAAAATCAGCCACATTAACAAAATGAAACCAATTCTGTTATATATTATGAATAGCAAGTCAAGGGAATCTCTTCAAGATGAGCTATTGCTTAAATTCAAAATACTTTTGTCTCTATGGGTAGACATTTAATAACAGATTCGACTATAGATTAACACATCATAACTAATTATTTATCAAATAAGCAATGTATTATTCATACAATAAAAAATATTACTTATAACTTGTAAAAAAAATTCATTTAAAAATATATTTCAGGCAAAACTTTTGTAAATGCTACATTTAAAATTACAAATAATGGGAATTATGATTAGAAATCTAAAGTTGGGGTGGATAGAACCATAACCAATCTCAAATAAAACAACAAAAAATTACTATTTTAATAATTTACATGCTTAATTGAATGGATTTTTCTTTACAGCAAATAACAAGTAAACATAAAACATAGTAAGTAAATAACATAGAAAATTATAATAAATTGATTATTCACAACATGATCAAAACTTAATTGAACTTTAAATATATACAAAATTTTTGTAAATGTTATGAAAAGAGAAGGAACTTTTTGTAAACTAAAAAATACCTAGGTAAACACCCTAAATTAAAATAACCCAGGCATTTCATATCTATAAACACACAAAGAAGTACACACAAATTCAAGACTAACATAATGGAAATTGTGACCCAAATAAAACAGAACACATATTTCTTAACAAGTATGTTATTTACTAGAAAGAAATTTTTACTATACATTAAAAAAGTAAAGGAAAAAATTTCTAATCACACCAAATATTTCATAAATTAGTTTTGATTACAAAATCAATTCCAAAAATATCTTGTAGAGGCTTTCAAACTAGAGACAGATAAGTTTGAGGGGATATTTCGGTATCATGATCTGAATTTTGAATTCTTCTTATTAATAATACCAAATTGCGCAAGAAAAAAAAATGTCAACGTGACGGCATTTGCCCCTAAATCGTCGTAATTATTAGTATTATACATTGTCGCAGGGTGTAAGGTTATTGAATCACAAATAAAGCTTTGTGGCACCGTTAGAATTAAACAAAGTTAATACAGTACTCGGATAGTGATAAAAGCATGTAGTAAAAATGAATTAAAATAAATAACACAATTAAAAAAAATAGTGGGCTAACAGCTGAATAAAATGAACTGGGCCAAACTGTGGCAAGGCAAACGGCTTAGAAACTAAAAAAAAAAAAATGCATTCAATTATCCACCATATTATAATTGAAGTAACAGTGTAAGTAAATAAATAAATCACTTAACATCACATATACTTACATCAAATAATAAATAAATCAAATTCTGTCCCTTCAAACTTTCCAAAAATTTGAAGAAAATAAATTTAGAACTTCCTAAATAAATCTTTAAAACCGATAACCGATTACGGTTAGAGATACAAAACTTTTTTGTTCAAAACTCTTCATTTGTATTCGTTATTCGCAATTCAAGTAAACTATAGGTAGCGCTGCAGTCTCGGGCAAATGGCGTCAGAAAAAAGTAATACAATCTGATATTATATCTGTTTCCCAGTGTATAACTGTGTGATACATTAGAATTTTTTTACTAGCTAGCTTGATTTTTTTGTCCAGTGATGGATTTTATTAAATTATTAGATATTTTAGCATATCTGGAAAGAGACGAGAAATCCAGGAGCATCACTGAGGTGAAAAAATTCTTAATTCAAACCGCATTAAAACATGTGGTGTTATAAAGCAGTGTTGTAAATACTTTTCTATGTAGCCGATAATCCTTTCTATAAATAAATAGAGCATTTCTTTACTTCCAATAAAATTCTTTTTCGAGCAAAATAAAGCAGAGGACTCATAAATTTTCTTTCCATAATTCTACTTACCATAAGGTAAGTCACCAATACTTATTCTCATAAAAATTAAGCAAGAATATCTTTATCCTTTGGTTATGNTTGTTTATATTTATCAAAAATTTTGAAAAATAGCAAAACATACTTTTCATCCAGTTATAAGATTAATATTTAACCAAATAATGAAGCAGAAATTTAATTTCAATTGTGAATCCTCTAAAATAGAAATGCTTTATTTTCAGGAAAATAAAAATATTTCAGAAGAAAAATTATCATATAAATGCATACATACCGGGTAAAATATTGTTTCGAACTTTAAAAAATGTTTCGAACACACAAGCATGTGCTTTGTAACTGTCTTTCCGATGCGTAGCTTATTTATTCACAAGTTTCTTTTTTTCCGTCCACGAAAACAATTTCCTCTTCTGTAGGAAAAGTATGAAAACTAATGTCAGCTCGAGAAACTCTCGAGTGACATTGTGGAACGCAACAATTTTTATAGCTGAAATCCAAACTTTAACCGTTGGCTTTACCTGTTACGTTAGATTCTTGAATCACCGCAAGGTGGCGTATTCGAGCTCTAGAATCAAAATGGGTTATAAGTGGCATGGAATAGGATTCTCTACCTATGGCAACACTTTACACACGAGAAGGACGTACGTTAGTTTTTCTCTTGATTTTCAAGTCCCGCAGTGGACTGATCGTTAAGACACGGTTCCCAGCAGATCACCGAAGTCAAGCATCACTGGCTGCGGTCAGTGTGCGGGTGGGTGACCACTNAACGAATAACCTTTTACACAGTTAATTAATTATTGTTTACCGTGCCATCCCCTCTACAGAGGATCAAAATTGTGATGGCATGTCTTCGGATCATCCCCCGGTATGTTTCCCAGACCGTCGCCAATAGCCCATTGTGCAGCTCTAGTGCGACGCAAATTAACAACAACAATAAATAACTAAAACAAATTTTCACTTCAAACTCACCAGAATTACTTAATAACATTAATATCTTATGAAACAAGGCAGATTTAAGTTTAGAAATTATCTATTTTGCTTCTTTTATTGAAAACAAAACAATCCGTTTGAAAATATCGCCCAGCAGAATAAGCTGTAGTAAGCAGTTGCAAACTTTCTAACCGGAACTTGAGCTGGTATTGTGCTCGAGATTGTCATTATATACATTTATATTGAAAACACCATTCATACAACTGAGAAGAGGAGGAGAGGGAAGATGAAGGATCAAGTCATGGAAGCTCCTCGGATGGTGTATTCGAGTGTTGTGACGGCGAATTAAATTGGTGTGAGGCTCTTTCAAAGCATGGCTTGATGCTACGAAGAAAAAGATTAATTCTAACATCGAATTATCAAAAGTTTTAAAATAATCATTTTTATTTCTTTTCCTTTTAGGCTGGCTCTATTTTATTTATTTACTGGAAAAATTAAGTATAAAGTCATGTTTTCCCCATCTGTATCGACTTTGTTATTTTTTACTTTTCAAATCCGACAAAGAATTTAATGCCATTAATATTAAAAAATGCGTAGTAGGTAAACCACAGGTTGGGATAACCTTGTTGGCAGGGCACTGGGCTGAGTTCGAATCCAGCCGGTCGAAGACTCCCCGTGTAGTAAATGGTGATGGGTACACGTTAAATGTGTTGGGTCAAAATGTCCTCCATGTTCCCATAGCAAATAAATACATCGGAGGGTACTGAAATGGAGATTGATCGTTCTCTGGTTCAGGTCAAAATTATCTGCGAACGAATCTAATTTGTGAACGAAAATTATCTGTGAACGAATGAATGAATATTTGAACGGGTCCGCCCTGTAAAGGGGTGTCACGTATGGGTGTGGCAAAAGTCGAATTCTTGGCCACAGATGGGGCCACTGGAAAACAAGAACAACCGCACTGTCTTAATGGCCGAAGACAACAACAGGTAAATCACTACTGCGTCTGAAAAATGTAGACCAGACTCTAATGTATATAACTGGCAGAACTGGTTCAAGAGAAAAAAGGGAAGCTATGATGGACTAGTTGAAATTCATTTCTCCAATTACTCCGACATAACTGGAGCTCAAATACAGCTAAGACATAATTTATATTGATGATAAACCATTTTAAACAAAGTAATACTCGTAGTAACGAAACAGTTATTATTCAATTTCTGCTAAAATATTTAATAAAATATATATTTTATGTAATGAAGTTTTTCCAGAATAAAAACAAATGTTCGAAAACTGAATTTAAATTAATAATTTTCTTTCATTTGCCAAAATGGTTAACTCCCTTTATCACGAAAATTTTTTAGTAATAACAACAATTACTCTTAGGATATTCTGATTAGATTGATAAAAGACGCATACACAGTTATGCAATCAAAACAGTGTTATGGAATTTTTAATTTAGGAAGAACTCTGAAAAACAATATATACTATTTTATCATTGTTCTCAATTTATTGTTTTACGGAGTTAATCGATTTGGAGACTAAAGCTTTCATATGTTGTTCTATGCATTGTTTTGTGTCAATTGTGTTTAATGTATTTGTCTTCCGAATGGGCGATTATTTTGGCGATCATCACGAATTATAGACATTTTTGGCAACATCAGCTTTGATGACATTCTTGAAATTTTGACGTTTTAGATGAAACAGTAAGCATCTTTAAAATATTAATATCCCCAAAATATCTTTGAAATATCTCTTGCACAAAAAACGCTGGATATTCCCAAAGCAGAGATCTCCCGGATATTTGAATGCCTATGAAATAGTTGTCAGAAATCCAGGGTTCGTAATCGCGTGACGTCGAACAGATATTTGGATATTGTGACATCTGTCGCTATAATCGAATGTGGTAAGACCATTTTAAGTAGTTCACTTACACTGCGCATGAGCGTAAATTTTTTTTTAAAAAGTTCTAATTTTATAGTGAATCGCAGAATGAAAATTTTAAAAGTTTCTGGCAATTTTCTAAGTAGTTTTTTAAAGAAAGCTATGAGTGATAAGGGTTTTTCACAAATTTTATTTGTACTATTAAACAAGATTTATTCAAAATACCACCGGCATTGAGGGGGATAATTCCCCATAAAAGTACGTTTTCTTTCCTTATACCATTACATATGTACATGGGCATTATTGCAAGGTATTATTAGTTGATATTAAATTTTGTCTTATGAGACAAAATGAAATTCGTGAGAAACTTGTGATTTTTTAGTGCTTTCATTTAAAAACTACTTAAAAGATTGTTGGAACTTTTTAAATTTTCAAAATATTTAAATCAGACTTATTTCATTAGATACCGAATACACTACAAAATTATGATTTTTTTTCCTTGTAATTCCCCCCCCCCACATGCACACTTTGAAAGAACTAATTTAAAATTTTCATATCTTGCACAACTTTGAAAGAATATTTTTCAAATTTAAAAGTAATAATTTTGCAATTAATTATAAATTGCTCCGAAAATTTGTTTATATTTATCAAAAATTTTGAAAAATAGCAAAAAACATAAAACAAAAAATTAGTTTTTTTTTTTATAAAAATGTCCGTATCTCCATTAATATTCAAGCTAGGTTTAAGAAATTCCATTCAATGTTTTAAAATCACATTTTAAATAATTGATACAAGTTACAAGCTTATTGCTAAATTTCTGGCGTGCTAAAAAATACCCGTTTTCGGTCATAGGGTCTCTCATAACTATGAAAGTTTTAAATTTTATTGGTAAGTATGAAAAATTGCATGACCCAAACACCTCTATAGTTACAAAACAATCCTCTAAGCGTGCCTCAAAATATTTTTAAAAATTGACTTCCCTTATTGTAGGGTATGGCAGTGTATATCATGTTTTCTAATTATACCAAATTTATCCTTTGTTTATGAATTTAAAAAACACACTTTACGGTGTGGTCACAAATTAATATGAAATGGAATCTCACTAATCACTGTTAAAAAGAAAAAAAGAGAGATTACAAAAGAAGTTTAAAACCTGTTGGATTGAAGGAAGGCACTTGAAGTTGTTTCCAATGATTAGATCTCTGCTTATCTGAGTTACCCCAGGTAATTAATCATGTTTTCACCATTTTAATCACCAGTAATTGATTAAATTTCAACAGCGTTTCCTTTCATTAAATTTATGCATTAAGGGCAGTGAATTTAAGATGTTACACCCTATGTACAGTTATACATCCATTACAAATTTTAAATGTTTCACTTACTTGGAATGTTCATAACATATTTAAATTCAAAAATTACACTCACAGCAAACAATTGTTTTATTTCTAAATTCATTGACATAAATTATAAGGACATATTTATTTTACATATGCATAACTGTGATTTATATGTATATACAAGGAATTAACATTTCGAGGATAAATAAAGCGAGAGAATAAATAAGTATATCAAAAGGAGTCTTTTTTAACTTCAATTTGGTTTTCTTTTCCTTAGAGCTATATAATACTTTAATATAATTCATTAGTCACGGCTAACATATATACAGAATAATAAATTAACTTTGATTGTCCGATAATTATGCATTCACAACACAAACATATAATAGCATTATGATAGGGGGAGAAACAGAACAGCACATTTGATCAAATATCATTTTAACTCCCATCAAAGTCGAAATAAGAGGCCTCTTCCATAGCTCTTTTGGATTTTAAGTTAAATTTTTGATTTGAGTTTTCCAACTTGCTTTCGTTCTTAAAAAACTCATGATAGAAAATTATTCGACGATACCATATTTTGCGGGAAAAAAAGGTGGAAAATAATAGCTTATTATTAATATTATTGTTATTATTTTATTGCTCAGTGCATTTGTCTGCCTTTAGTATTTTTGTGGTTATTGCTTAAATTGACGAAATGGAGTAGGTTGATGCTATACATTTTTTTAAAGGCAAACTGGTAAAAGAAAAAAACATATTAAAAACATAAAAACAGGTAAATGTGTAATACTTAACTACCTTTCAAGAAATGCTGGTAGCAGATTAATATTGGTATAATTTGGAAAGAAGTCAACTGAAATTCTAGAATAACGTCATCAATATTTCTTAAACGCTAATTGGGTTGACGATCTTGTATTGAAATGCTTAGGAAGATACAGTAAATATCTAACTTCAATTTATGTGAAAATTCAATAAAGATGATTAAAATCATATTTAGAACTCTTTATATCCATTCGTCTACTCTCTTTTAACCATCGTGTTATGTCTGTCGGGAAAAAAAGAGGCCTCTTGGGTGGTTGAAGCAAAACAAATAAACAGATTGCTATTTTTTTAGCATGTTTCAAAAGCATTATATAAAATTTTGATTTTTAAAAAACTGCATATTTTTTGCATTGTATTAAAAAATGCTTAGTAAAACTTTCGAAGCAATCGATATTTCACTTGATTTTTCGAATGAAATTAGAAAGCAATAAGCTGTTATCTTTCAAACTATTCGTTGGAATAATCAGAAAAAAATCGGTCTCTGATACTTGCTGTTTAAAATTTCAAAACCAATTGAATAATCTTAAGTATCAATCTTTGATAATTTAGTACTAATTCTAAATTTCGCTACTAAGCGGTCTTTATAATCAAATCAAAATCTTAGAAAAAAAAACTGAAGCAATCTCACAACAGCCATGGGTGGTGTTGTGAGATTCACAATTTCGAGATCAACGATATGATTCGCGGTAATGTAGTCTCCTTCGTGCACCGATTGCCTTTACTTCCGAGACTAGCTAGTACCCATTGATCAAAAGCTGCCCTTCGGAAAGAATCACTTTCCATCGCAATGACAACTAAGTGCCTAACCCATGAACTCACAAGGCTCATTTCAAAAGACTACACATTCAAAATACACATTGTATGATAGAATTGAATGGTAACGAATAAGACAGTGGCATTCAAAATTATTTACAGGATGTTTCAAAAATAACAACTCATTTCCTGATAAGCTTCTTTTGTGATCTTTTAATGGTACCATTTTGCCCGTATCCGTTACGTGAATACCTTTAATAGATATTTTCTGACCGATGTGAGAAGGCTGATAATTACAACATGATTTCATCTCCATGATGCGTCGCACCTATGACATCACTGAATTCAACGAGTTACACTGAAACTTTTAAGAATTAATTTCACTTATTTAATGGTTATAATCGCCAAGTAATGTAGAACCGTTTTTATTTATTACCATGGTTTTTCGAAGCTCTTGTCGCCCAGTAAAATAAGAAAGCCACAGTTTACATGCCTTAAACTTGACTTAATACATCTCATCTTGCCTTGAAGGATTATCAGGGCTTAGAACAGACACATAATTTAAGCATTATAAGAGTTAGTTAACTTTTTTCAAAAATCGCCAATTTGGTGACATTTTTCCATATCGATGAAAATTATAAAAATCAAGGCTTTATTCTCTGTTTTTGGAAATTATGAGCCCAGTCCAGATATTGCAGAAATTGAGAAAGTTTTTAAATATTAAAAAATTAGACCACAAACGCTTTTCATTTCCACAAAAATGTATGTTTTTTTTCATTATTGACGTTTTGCGCCATTTTCAGAAAAAGCACAGACAGCGCTTGTTTTAGATTGGCTAAATTTGTCCTAACAGTCATGAGTAACCGTTGAAAACTGGCAGCAGTTGTGAAAATAGCACATTATTCGCAATAAAGCAGCATTTCATGTGACGGAGCCTTCGAAAAATAGTCTTACTAGCAGAATACCGCTTCTTTTAAGGGGCGGAAAAAGGTAAGCAATCAATATATCAATGCTGGACAACACTACCGAAATCCTGCACAGAACTGAACGACACACACCAACACAGTTAAAATAGCTAAAAGAAATTCTGTTTTATAAATTTATTGTTATATTTTGCTCCTGTCGGTGGCTTTATGTTATTAGATTAAGCCAAGCACGTTTTCAGCAGCTCATTCCATCAAAATAAAGATTAACTGTATTCCAGAATCATTTGGCACGACGCTGTTGCTTCAAGCCATCCCATGATAGTCAAAATTTACCACAATCTCGCCATTTTCTCCAGTACTTATACCTTTAGAGGGACTGTTAAAACCTCTTTCACAGAATCTATATTAAAGCTTCTCAGTATTGATGTAATTGTAATAGGTATCAAATATATACATTTTACCTGTAATTGACAAGCCTGACATTTTCAGAATGAATGTAAAGCTAAACGCAGATGGTGTTAGGGGTTAAAATCCGTCGTAAAACTTTCTGGCTACTACTTCCGACTGATTTTTACGCCTACACTAAAAAAACGCACCATCCAAAATTATCATACCTGTGTTCTCAACATAATGCGTTCTTTCAATCTAATTTTCAAAGAAACAAACAACAAATGAATTCGGAAGAATCCGCGAGCTTGCTCTAAGATGCTATCCAAGAAATAACAAACGGTGCCATTTTAAACAAATAATATAGCCAAATAAGGGATAACACTTAAAACAAGACAAACCTTACACTTTATTTATGATGTGATATTAATTTTCTTAAATTTTTTTAGGGTAACGACTTATTAGAATTTATAAATTACACAAAACTCTAAATAAATGGTAAATTTACGTTTAAATTTAAACATAAATCACATTATAAAAACTTCCTAGAATAATAAGCCTGTTCACACATCACCTGGTAAGCATAACATAAGCAGAGGGATACACCGGAAGCTTTCTAAACTTCTTCCGGTTATAGGAAGCTTGTTACTGTTTACGTTCAGCCAACCATCCATAGGGGCTAAACTCGCAATATACTCGATAACAGCCTTTTTTATCCACTATCCAAGTTTCAGGACGTTAGAACAAATGGTTCTGGAGTTATAAGAGGGACACATACGCAGAGACAAACTTTCCATTTTGTTACTATAATTTTATGTTACAAATACCAAAAATTTTTTTCCTCAGAAATTTTTACTGGTGGGTCACATCACTTCCATTATCTTAGGAAATAAAAACATTATTCAGATGGCATAGTCCAATATTTTCCAAGGGGAAGACCCACGCCACGAGTCATAGGTTGCCGATCACATTAGAGTAGATGAGTTAGGAAATAGACACCCACTAAGAATCGCAAATAAAGAAAGATTATGAATTTTACAGGTAAAATTTTTTTCTTATCGATTGAATTAAGATGTAATTCGTACACGTTAGATTGATTGAGGTTATTCCCCCGATTTAGAGGCGAAAATATCCTAAAACCTTTTTTTTTTTTTTTTTTTTTTTTTTTGCTGCATGAAATGCCTTGAATATAAGATAAAGATTTGAAGAACTCAAAAAAAGAAACAACGCTGCTGTAAATGAAATCACACACCTAACGTAGGAGCGTATTGTGTTGACATGTAAGGTGGAAATGCAAATGTATGAGAATTTATACGCAACTTTTGAACTGTAATGAGAAATATGATGTACTTTTGACCTGTGGTTGTGCTAGTGTAAATAAAGCACTTCTCTCTATAAACGAGTTGTTATTTTTGAAATGCCCTGTAATATCGAATTAGATAAAAGCATTTAACAAATCAATGGACTCAGAAGTATTGTGGTTCAGGGGATAGAGCACTTGACTTTCAATGAAGCGATCCAGGTTCAGATTCTGGCGATGGCTGGTCTATACGAATTCCGTGGCCGGCTCGCACCGAGTACAGTGCTGACAGAAAATATCCTCAGTGGTAGACGGATCATGGGATAGAGTCTCCCCTTTCCGACAGGCTAACCGTAGGAATTTTTCGTGGTTTTTTTTCTCCATGTAACGCAAATTAGAATTAGTTTTATTAAAAAGTTCTTTACGAAGGCAAATTTCTCCCAATATTTGATCTAGGAGTTACCTTGTCTTCTGGATTGGGTTCAAAATTACAAGGCTACTCAGTTGAATATTGGTAGTCGTAAAATCAGAATTGGATCAGCTATTTAAAAATATGAAATACAATCAATGAACCCGTTTGCCTGTCATTTCACTAATCTTTTTTGTTTGAAGAATGGGCATCAAGCTCATGGATGCGTTAAATTTAATGTAATTCATTAACTAAAACGACATGGATAGTATTTTTGAACAAGTACCCCTGCATCACCCTTAGGTGTTAGATAGGTCAAAATGTGACTCCCAGAGAGTCGGAGTCATATTTGGTATTAAATGATAGTCATTTTTTTTCTTCAAAACATCAAACATGCCTAGTTTTTTTTTTCCATTCCGACATGCATTTCTCAATACGTCCATCATTGTTAGAAGTTTGTACCACATTTTTATTTAGTACAGTGCCATCTAATAAACACAATGTAAACTTTTTGTTCGAATTGGGGAACTTTTTTAAAATAAATCAGGATCCCTACTTGGATAATTGAAATTTTACCCAGTGACATCCAAAGGAGGCAAAATGGGGTTCGAATATGATTTAATCAAATGTAATTTTTATAAAAATATTTCACACATGTTTACATTCAATCAACCATCCATTACCATATTTTTTCAGACATTTTTTATAATAAATAATTTTGATCTAACTAAAACCGTAAATGATTAATTAAAAAAAAACTGAAAGGTAACAATTCTTATTAAATTAATACATTTTGATTAACTGGCTGATTCTCGGGCTCTGGCGATATCTAAAATAGCGGAGAATAACGCAAAAATAATAAGTTCATTTCTAGGAAAAGCTGAGTTCTCTGTTTTCTGTTATAACGTCACGGATTAAGTAAAAACTGAGATTTAACTGCTGAGATTAAAACAGACTAGAAACTGATTTCACTGCATGTGAAAAACTCACAAAGATGAATGAAAACTTGATTGGCGAAATGTTTGCGAAAACTCGCCTATCAGGTTATCAATTTCATCTCCGAATTCGCAGACACAATTTTTTTGTATGCAGTGAAAATAGCACTTTCAAAGTTTTGCACAAATCACGCCATTAGGGCGCCATCTATCGATGAACTTACTTAATGACATGTCTGGATGAGCGAATTGCTACGCGGCGATAATACAAAGAATTGAAATCCAAATGATTCGCTTCATAAGGTCTGGATTAAGTATACTATGAACGTCGTCATAAGATATAGAGATCTTGTTGATACAAACTGATAAAAATATCTTGAAAAATGTTTGTCAAATATCACAATATTCAGGAGAAGCGGGAAAAATAGAAGTTGAGAGCCCTGTTCACGTCATAGTCAGCTGCTAGTCCTACCCTCACCAGCTCTTCCCTAGGTACAGACTCTCCCACTATATCACGCAATTGAGCTACACATGCCTCTAGGAGTGCAGAATCATGGGTCAATTCTTCCAGGGAGCTGGAGTCCGAAGCGCCACCTTCCTGAAAGGCAAAACATTTTCTTTAAAATTTCATTTTCTTTTAGTCCTTTCATTTCATTTAGTTCAGCGAGGGTAGAATCTCGCCATTAGATACCGGTAAGGATGTCAACGTTTATAGTGCTCCTGATTGGCTGTGGAAAAATGACATTTGTTTATGTTAGCAACTGTTCTTTCCCTCCTATTTAGATTAAGCCTAGCCCACCACCTTCTATATTCTGTCACAAAGAAATATTTGCTTTTTTTTCTTACTTAACGCAGAGGCATGACGAAAGTCATGCAGAACGTAAACAAACTAACAATGCAATGAAATTCAAAAATACACAAAATAAAAAGAATCATGGTTGCAATAAAATACATAAACATGTAATAAATCTCAATTAAGCAAAAGAAGTAGAGAAGGAAGAATAATATTTTAACAAATTCGATACGTGATATGGAGGTGAAATTTTATTAACGTCGCGTTAATAAACGTTAATTTCTGTTAAGAAACTTAACTCGATCTTAGCTTGCATTATCCAGAATATTAACTCGCCATCCTTTTCGTAAACAGCCGGCTAACGCTCAAGTTCTGAGGCTATGTATCAAGGATCTTCTTCTTGAGTTGCAATGACCCAAATAAAATTTCAATCCTTTTCAAGCTAGCTAGAGTAGCGGAACCGAGTTTTTTTCCGCTGAAAAACGCTAGTTAATCGTTCTTCTTTTAGCGAAACTCCGTCTTGGCAAATAATGATTACTAGCAATTATGAACTTAATAATCCAAAGTAAAACTACACTTTGTTTCAAAAACATTGAATGAAAACAATAAAAAAAAATCATTTCTTTTTGCAATAATTAGGGAGATTTAGCGCTTTTACGTTACCTTCAGTACTCTCTCGTACGTAAGATTTGAAGCAACTGCCCGCGTTTACTTTAGATGCTACTTATCTTTACGTTATATTGGCGTGATTTACGCTACAAAGATAAAGCTATAAGCACGCTGTTTATAGCTGTTAAATTTTGTTTTCTGCTGAAGCCTACCTACGAACTAAAAACATGGACATGGAATGCGAATTTGTAGAAATGTATAAATAAAATACAGAAATGAATCGTGTGATGTTACATCAATTAGTTCATTCAATAAAAAAATAATTTTATTTGTCTTTGTTTAACATTTATGGTTTCCTAATTGCTCCATAAACTAAATATATTTTCGCTATTTTAAAATCATAAATTATATTTATATATTTTAATTATACAATTTAGTTAAAAGAAGTTAAATAATCAATAAAACGTGAATAATTTTTTTCAAAAAATATTAATGAAAATAATAATAAGCTGCTTTCGCCAATCGCTGAATTCATCAAAATCTATCAAATTTTTCTGCTCTCGGAACCGCAGTTTTACGTAGAGTAAAGCATCTTGAATTGTATGTCACAGCTTTAAAACGTCGATTGTATTTGATTTTGTGGTCGAAGTTTAAATTATATCCNTTAAATAGCTGCTCGCCAGATTTTATTGCATTATAAAGAAAAGTAATTGATATTCGATTTTTGATTAATAATTGATTTATGTGGATAGTGGCATAGAATTTAGCATTGCGTCATGGTAAATGTTATTCCTACTAAGTGGAAGTAGTTGTTTTTTTTTTATATTATACCCAATTGTATGTCACAGCTTTAAAACGTCGATCGTATTTGATTTTGTGGTCGAAGTTTAAACTATATCCCGTGTAATTTACGGATTTTTGTAAAATCTCTTATTTTCATTGATATTTTTTCACGGGCGCATGTGCATTTCACTAGAACTGACTCACGCTCTCTAGAAGTGGAAAAAAAAAAGAATTGTTAAAAACGTTGGTAAAAGTTATAAAGGAAATATATCTCTATTGTTGAATTTAGTTTTTTTTTTCTTTTTCTAATTTTACTCTATCTTTTATTTTTGATATTTAAACAAGAAATTAAATATTTAATGGATCATTGATAGGATCAGAGTACATAATTATACGTTTCAAGAGACTTTGCTGTCCTAAAAAAATTTCCAACTCTCTGAACTCTTGAAACTCTTCCACTCAACCACAGGTTTCACCTTTTAGGAATCACTGAGCTAGGGGGTACTCAGATCTCTGATGGAGCTCCACACATGAGGATAATGCAAATTTCAGTCGTTTTCTAAACGTTACAAGAGCATAATTTCTTATATTTTATTCAGAGCATATAGAAATAAAATTTATCGTCAATCAAAATTTCGATCGTTATCTGATTAAATTTCAATTCTGGAGCACTGGGCTTAATAACGAAACATGTTTTAATCATTTCCTCACCATTACAAGCAGCATTTACGTCGTCGCCCTTAAAAGCCATATTTCCGACTAGCTAGAGCGCAAGCCAACGTGACTCGGATAGAGCTTTCACCTTCCAACGAGGTGAACCGGGTTTGAATCCCAGCAATAACGGGTCGATACGAATCCCGCACCCGGCTCGCACCGGCCACAGTGCTGACGTAAAATTCCTCAGTAGTAGACGGATGATGGGTTGGAGTCCCCTTGTAAATTGCGGGAGAGTTTCGTGGTTTTCCTCTAAATGTCACGCAAATGGGGCTTATTTCCATCAATAAGTTCTCCACGAAGGCGAATTTCTCCCAATATTTGGTACAGGAGTTTCCTTGTCTTCCGGATCGGGTTCAAAACTACAAGGCTACGAAGTTGAACATTAGTCGTAAATCCAAAATTGGATTGGCTGTTCAACGACCGTTTTAAAATAAAATATAAAAAAATATCATTTACTGCCAATCTCATACAATTTGCAGCTAGAGCGGAAGAGGAGATGGCTTTCATCTGGGCTGATACACTCCCAGCAACAATATCAAAATCATGAACAATTACTTATCACTAACAATTTAGTCACGTCAATCTTTCTCTTATGCGCGAAATAAATAAAAAATATTACCTCATTAGCTGAAAGGTTATTGGCCGAAAATAGTTCTTCTATGTCCAACAGGCTGGAGGACATTGAGCTCGGACTGTCGGCATTGAATAGTTGAGGACCGTCTTCACTTCGTTGGGAATTCCTAAAAATAACAGCAGATAAAAACACTTAATTTACGAAAATCCAAATTTTTTGATAAAACACAATTTTGCATGACAGATATCAACGAGAGAATATCACCTTATAAAAAAAATGAGAAAAAAAAGCATATGTTTCTTTGCAACTTTATTTACAAACTAATTTTAATTATATACCAAAGAATTTTACGATCACTCATTAAACAATGTGAGAAACCAATTAAAACTTTTTTGGACCAAATGTATGAAATTTCGCTCACTACGTTGTTATGTTGGTGGTTTTAAAATGAACGCATTATAAATCAACTTACTTTTACAAAGCATGGTAAAAACTTAAAAGAAAAAACATGGGCCTCAATCTATAGATTAGCTTTTCTGGGTTACATCGTTACACACATCTCGTCTTTAGTGGCCCAAACCTGGTAAGGGCACGCATTTAACTGAAGTACCACATTCACCCACATCAGGAAACGAAATTAACGGTGGTATAGAAAATTAATGTAAAAAAATATTCTCAGAGGTAGACGATCATGGGTTAGAGTGCCCTTGTCGTCAGACTAATCGTGGGAGGTTTTCGTAGTTTTTCTCTTCATGTAACGCAAAAGCAGGTTAGTTCCATCAAAAAGTCCCCCACGAAGGCACATTTCTATCAATACTTGATCCGGGAGTTACCTTGTCTTCGGAAATGGGTTCAAAATTACAAGGTTATAGAGATGAACATTAGTAATTGAACATAAGAACATTCGTAAAACCAAAACATTGGGTCAAATGTTCAATGATGGTTGTAAAATAACTTTTAAAATGTTATTTGTCTGTTTTAAACCACAGATAATTCTTCTCGGCAAGATGATATACAATCATCGCATTACTTCAAAGCACTTAAACTGTGGCTTTTTAAAAATTTTCTTTGGCTACAGAGCTTCGAAAAACCATTTTAATAACTTTCTTAACTCCTTTTCCCGAAGGAGGAGTATTGTAGCATATCCCTCTCACAAAACAGTTTGGAAGAAGACTTTGGCTGCTGCGAAACACAAGGCGCATCTTTTTAGATTGGGTTTCGAATTTTGCCCTTGCCTACGTAACATATTTACTAAAATGGATTAGCTTTCATGAATTCCATAAATTTGACTTGTTCAAAAACATTTTACTTTTATGTTGAATAACTGAATAAAAGTAAAATGTTTGAAAACATTTCACTTTTTAACGATGATAGAGAGAGATAACTCCTTAAAATAAATAAAATTGGACCACTTTTAACATAATTAGTTTTTTTCCCCTATTATCTAGAATTACAAACACACTTTATTTCCCCAATAATAAGTTTAAAAAAATATCATGCTTAATAAATAAAGACAGCAAATTGAAATCAATGAATTATACTAAATTTTGCGATAAAAACATTCCGTATAGTTGTTAACAGTGAATGACCGAAATGGGTGAATGTTGACAATCACATACTCGCTTCGGTAAATGTCCGAAATATATACTAGGTCTAGTGAAGTGCCTGATGTACCCTACACTGATGTTTCTTTGGTTCAGTGCCAATGCCCAGTACTAAGAACTTCGATGTTTTTATTAAACTATCCTCAGCAGACATTAAAATATTGAATAAATATAATAATATCAATGAATAAATTAATATAAAATAGGATACAACAAATATTTCGGACATTCACCAAAGAGAATATGTGATTATTGACATTCATCGGTGAAAGTCGACATTCCCATGGTTTTGGTCATTCACGGTAACAAAGTAATAGTTCAAAAAAAAAAAGTATCGATGACAGGCAGAGACCTTAAATCAACCCAAGTAATCATTTCTTCTACTTCTGACTGTAGTTCATCAGGCAAATCATAGAAAACTTCACTTTTGGCTAAATCTTTATGCATGGCTATGAATTCCAAAGTAGCTGTCTGAAAAATGAAAATGAATTGCATAATTCTATTTCTCTTCTTGCATGATTCAAACATAAATAAAGACTAAGGGGGATGAATGGTTTAGGTCCATGTAAGCTGGCAGAAATACGGCAGAAATTGATTTATTTTTGTCATCAGTTATAAACTTAATTACACTATTACCATATTATTTTTTATGTTTTATTAATTTAAATATAACTGGAAGATTACGATCATTTCAAATCACATTCATAATCAAAGAATCAAAATCTTAAATTTTTTTTCACTCGATGGATGGTTGACTGAATGTAAAAAATAACAAGCTTTCTAAAACCGGAGGAAATTTAAGAAAACTTCTGGTGCATTCTTTCTCTTATGTTTTGCCGTTAGGCGTACAGGTTTAATATTCTAGGGAAGTTTTATTATTGTAATTTGTTATTAATTTTACTATTCATAAGAGTTTCCTGTAATTTAAAAATTATAACACGTCGTGAGCATATAACAAGTTTTAGAAAATTAATATCAAAACAAAAATAAAGTGTAAGGTATACCACGTTTTGAGTATTATACCTTATTTGGCTATATTTGTGTAAAATATCAAAGTTTGATTTTTGGGTTGCATTGCATAGAGAATGCTTGCGAAGTCTTCCGAATTCATTTGTTGTTTGTTTCGTTGGAATTTAAACAGAAGGAATGCGTTATATTGTAAACACTATTAGTAAAATAATATTGGATGGAGCACTTTTTCAAGTTTCGGCGTAAAAATAACCCAGAAAATCTACTACGAATTTTAATCCTCACTGCCATCTGTGCTTAAGCTTAACACGGTCAACCATCGTTACAAGGCTGGGATAGCCTGGTTGGTAAGGCACTGGGCCCATGATCAAGGGGTCTAGGGTTCGATCCCCGTAGAGTAAATCGGGACTGATGCACGTTAAATCTGTCGATTCACAAAGTCTTCCATGTTCCCATAAGAAATCATACCCCTGAGTCTTCTGGATTGGTTCAAAATTACAAGTCTACGGAGTTGAACATTAGTAGTCGTAAACCCATAAAATAGCTGTTCAACGACGGTTATGAAAACCAATGCATACAGAATCTCCATGGCTCAGGGGATATAGCGTTCGCCTTCCAATGAGGTGAACCGAGTTCGAGTCGCAGCGAAGGCTGGTCGACACGAATTCGCATTCGGCTTGCACCGACCACGGTGCTGACGTGAAATATCCTCAGTAGTGGACGGATCATGGGTTAGAGACCCTTTTCCGTCAGGCCAACCATGGAAGGTTCACGTAGTCTTCCTCTCCATGCAACGCAAATGCGGATTAGTTCCATTAAAAAGTCGTCCACGAAGGAAAATTCCTCCCAATACTTGATCCAGGAGTTTCCTTGTCTTCTGGATTGGGTCAAAAATTACAAGGCTACGGAGTTGAACATTAGTAGTCGTAAACCTAAAACAGGGTCCGGCTGCTCAACGACAGTGTGTACTGCATAAATTTTAAATGTTAAGAAAGCCATCATTTATTAACTGCTATTTCAGTTTTCTTCGAAGTGGTAATATTTTATTAGCATTTAATTCAAAACATTAAAATCACAGATTATGAATTAGCAAGAATTTTTTAGGAAAAATTACTACTGCTCCGCCCTTTAATAGTTTTACCTAATCTAGATTCGTAACACGGAATTCCTTAAAATTTAAAAGTAATAGTTCTATTGGGAGTTTTTTTTTCTCGATGAATCTGTTACCTGATAAGCACCTACAACACGCAATTTTATGGAAAAGTAAATGTCGAATAAAAATGACTATTTAACAGTTTTTATGTTTAATTTTTCATATAAAAAATTCTCTGAAACAAAGGTGTTTCCTAATTTCACAATTAAATGATTAAGAAATGATTAACTCTTTCATTTATAGGCTGATCCAAATGACGTATAGTTTGAAGTGATGCAATTTTGTGATATAATCTTAAAATGGTGTACCATTTCATAACCATACAATTATTAATTTTTAACATAAATTTTTAAGCACTTTTTAATAAATCAAATGACATGAAAAATTAGATTTAGGATTTAAAAAAAATCTAAAATTTCAGAATACATAGAAATCAATTCAAACATTTTTGTTCATAATTAATACATTAATTTAAAAATTTTTTTTAATTTTATTGAAATTCCTCATTATATCACATTTTTGTCTTTGAGACAAGGCTTACAACTTTTTGGAAAATAATTATTATAATTTAGCGAGTCAATCAAAAGATATGAAGAGCAACGCGGCAAAAATAAAACAACATTTAAGTACCAAAACTTTGAACCATTATAGCGGTTAAACTGTAAAAACTAGCTTTTCGAAACTTCTCCTATTCATTCCCTCTAATTTTGGTGATAAAAATCCAAATTTGATGGAAAAAAAGGTATGTTTCTTCAGAAAAAGTGCATTTTATTGTTCGAAATACGCCTATTCCGGTCTTGGTTACAGTTAACTATTAACATAATTCAAGAGATTTCTTTGATCTTCTCTCTGTTTCCTATATATTGAGCAATATACTGAGATATTGCTATCACATTTTACAGAAAGAAAATCCGACCCACCATTCAAAAATATAAAAGTTTTTTTCCTTGCTGACAATACGTGTAAGCAATCTTAGGATAGGTTCATGTGTCAGAGATCATCTATATCAACTTAAATGAGGGCTTTCATATTGTTAATCAGTTAAGCCAATTGAACTTACGAACGCTCTTACATTTAACATGTACATTTGCCACCATGACTATTATAATTCCATTTGTGTGGATACTCACCCTAAGAGATCTGGCATTGAATTGATCGGCGATGCCAAGAAGAAACAGAGCAGAATCTTCGTCTACGAGGTTTTTCAAGGCTTCCTCCGATATCTGTTTCAGGCAGTCCACCTTCGAAGAAGAAAAAAAAAGCACTCATTTATTCACGAAAATTGATTTGAAATGATTTCATAAACGAGATTAAAAAAGCAGGAAATGAGACATGGAACTTTGACAGCCGTGAAGTCTGATGTAGATGGAAATTCACTTGCTCACTGTTGCTCGATAGCGGGTATTTTTGAGTGCTAAAAGACGCCGTACTAACCTTATGGAAATTAATTTTCAGTTAAATTGGCTGAAAATTTAATATGTTGCCGTTCAAAACATTCTGATCAAAAGTTCTCATTGACAGAAAAACCATAGTTTCCGAGATACGAAGCCTCAAATCATAAATAATAATTTTCTAATTCCGTCCTGACATTAGCATTAAACAAGGAAACTGAACAAAAAGTAGCTAATAATGAACTTTTAAATTGAAAGTTTAGATTAAATAATGATAAAGCTAGTAGCAGGTCAGAACGTCCAAAAATAAATGAGTATCTAGCAATACTTTTCTTCGCATTCACCTAAGCCAATGCTGCCATCTTCAAGCACCTTTCATCACAGTGATAGAGTGTTCGTCTACTAATGAAATGAACGGGTACCCACCACAGTGCTGGCGTAAAAATTTCTACAGTTGCAGACGGATCATGAGTTAGAGTCTCCTTGCCGTCAGGCTAATCGTGGGATATTTTTGTGGTTTTCCTAATATATAACGATAATGTGGGCGAGTTCCATCAAAAAGCCCTCCACGAAGACAAATTTCTCCTAGTACTTGTTCCAGGAGTTCTCTTGTCTTCTGGATTGGGTTCAAAATGACAAGTCTACGGAGTTGAACATTAGTAGCCATAAAACCAAAAATTGAATCTGCTGTTAAATGACGGTTATAAAATTAAGTCCACAGTGTCTATATTTCTTATGATTGACGCCCCGTATCTCGAAAATGATTCATTTTTTAAATTTGTGTCAATGAGAATTTTTTTCGCAGAATATAACATTTTTAGTCAATTTGACACAGAAATAAATTCTATAAGATTTGAGCTTGATCTTTTTTGGCTAAAGAACGGACCTTTGTAATATTGACTAGCAACTGCGCTCGTGATCTCTGATATCAATGTCTTTAAGTCTGAGGTAGAAGGAAATTCAATTTCTCACTGATGCTCGGCTACAAATTTTCATTTTGGCTATTATTTGGCTAAGTAATGGATTATTTAAAATCATTGTCTAGCAACTGCGTCAGGTGATTTATGATATCAATGTCGTGAGGTAGAAGGAAATTCAATTCCTCACTGTTGCTCGGCTGCAAACCTATTTTTGGTTATTATTTGGTTAAAGAACGGACCATTATAATTTCGTTACCTAGTCATTGCCAAGTGATCTTTGATATCAACGTCCTGAAATATGATGTTAAAGAAAATTCAACGTTCAAAAAAATCTTTCTCTGTAGCTTTGTAACGGGCATTTTCGTTCGTGAAACTTGACTCAATTGTAATTCGTCATTGCGCTAACATTTTTTTTTCAAATAAAGAGAACATCTTCATTTATTAAAAGTAAATGATAAAAAAACACGGTGTGGTAATTTTTCGCTCTCCCTATGAAGCATTTTTAAAGCAACATACTTATTTGACAACAAAATTTTTCTTAACACCGTAGAATGATCACTTCTTGCGAGTTGAGTAACTTACCTCATACCTATCAGATAGCTGCATGAGATCTGCCAGCTGTTCGGTGTTCAGTTGTCCAGTATCCACCTGTCCTCCGTACACATATTCTAGGAAAATCATAAAAAGCTCTGGGGTTGTGTCATGAACAATGATTTTTCTGAAAAGTGAATCCTGCTGTATAATATTATTAATACTTAGATATTGACATCATTGTAAATACAGTGATACCATACTAAATATTTATTGGTACCATACTAAATACAAATATTAAAAATTTTATGGCCTAAATATAACATATGCATTCTAAATATCATAAACCATGCACAGTAACGTGAAAAAAAAACGAACGTGGAAAGAACGTGCTTCCTCTAATCAGGTAGTTAGAAATATAATTGCCTGATGAGAGGACATCCTAAACACGTAGATTTATATAATTGTGCATGCTGTTGAACATAGCCATTGTTCTTAAGCTTTCTCAGCGCCATCTGTCGACTACTTTGAAACTAATTTTAAGAATTTAGTGGTGATTAAACCTTGTGATTTTCAAATCGTCGATCATTATCGGAGACCAAATATTTAAATGCCTCTCTCCACTGTTATCGATGTATCACAGTTGTGAGGATCCATATTTTTGCTATTCAACAACCTTTTGAGTGCGAAACAAGCAACCTTTTTACAGCAAACATAAAATTCGCTCTCAAATAAGTTTGAATTCTTCCCCCCCCCCGGCCTTTTCACGCAATGAATATATTTACTCTCTTTTTCCAATATATTTGAAATGTGTGTCGACTTTAAATACATCAACATTTTTAATAGTTTTTCATAATAAAATAAATGAATTCCTCTTACTTGTCTATGGATTCTTTCATACCACTTAGAAGAGCCTTCTTAAACCAATCACACCGAGACGCTATGACAATGCAGTGAGCTTTGATTTCTCTCGAATCTTGCCTCTCAGAATCTATCAGGAGGGGAAAAAAAGGAATCTTAAAAAGAAGATTGCAATCAGGTGGATCGGAAAGTATTTTTGGCGAATGAAAGACTCTTATAGTGAATAAATATTTTATTAAATGATATAACATTTATTCTAGCCCTTTGTTCGATCTTTCTGGAAGTAATTCCACGCTAATAAAATTTTTGTTCTATGCTGACTATGTTCTATGTTCTCCGCTTTCAGCCGGTTTATCTTTTCTACTTGCGTTTAAATTTTTACAAACCACACTTTTCTCCTCCCCAATGATAATGTGTTTCAAAAATGTAACATTTTTTGGACGTTTGAGAAGCAAATCAAAGACGTCAACGCACATGAGGAACCCATGTAGAGAATTTTAAGATTAAACCTAGACGTTTGAAATTATCATGAACGGTCGAAATCGATAATTTAATCTCTTAGTGATCTCACGAATTGTTTGCCTTTATTGGCTCTTCTTTAGCCTGAACTGGCGGAGTGCTTTTCGGGCATCTAAATCAAACTTTTGCCTGATCGAAATTTTGCAAACCAGTTTGGTCACTGGCGTTAACTACCGTGCATTAGAAAAATCAATGTAAGCGACAAAAAAAAATTCAGATTTGTATACATTTGATTTTTTTTGTATGATAAGCTCTACATGTAGCATAAATTTTTTTCTCCAAAATAATTTCTGTTTTATTATTTTTTTGAAATTCGGTTTTACCATTCGTGGCAATTGCAAAAGAACGAAAATAGTTAACAAGCCACATTTCTCTAACTCAATCGTTAAACACTAACTTGGTTTTTTTTTTAATTGCACGACAATACATCTACTCCATACATATTGGCTAACTTTTGTTTTTGCTTGAACAGCATTCATACCTTTTCGACAGTAAAAAGTAATATATGCCGAAAATGCTGCCTTTTACTTTCCTTGTTTGAAAGGCAAACTCTTGCATAGAATCAATCAAACTTTATTACAGGCAAGTCTTGTTATATCAGCTTTTAAAATATACACTAATTTATGAGGCTTAAGTGGCAGTCAAAATGTATGAGGCTTAAGTGACAGTCAAATGAGTTGGCAGTCAAAATGTATAACTAATTCCTGCTTGGTAAAAACGAAATTACTTTCCGAACAACTCAATACACTATAAAAGTTCATCACAACTTAAATTGCACTTATTTTAACTTAATTTGCATTGAACTTGTGGCGTTGCGGTCTGAAATGCGAAGTCCGAACTACGAATCTCTGACGTTGGACTACGTCACTTGCAGCCGATAATTGACGTAAATCTCATACCGGAATGGAGATATGAGTGAAGGGCGAAATCAGCAAAACGCGCACAGTATGTTTTGGATATAACTTGGCTGCCTCCCCACAGCTTTTCTCTCTCCCCGTCGGTTCTAGTTAGCAGTCTGGCATGTTCTCGCCGGTTACCTTTTCGCAGTTTCTTTCTATGCTGCTTCAATGTTAAAGTGGTTAAGTTTTATATATGTTAGAATGTTTTAGTTAAATTTACAAATTTCTTAAATGTTAATAAAGATAGTTATTTATTTAAACTTAGTGTTATTTATGAAGAAACCTATAAACCGTTCTCGGAACATTTTCATGTGGAAGGCTTTTCTAAAGTTAGATTTCTTTTTAGAGTTTAAGTGGGGACTCTAACAAAGATACCAAACAACCCACAAGTGGTGACCCGGACTTAGAAGTAGTGACACTCTTCTGAATCAAAGAATATGTGGAATTATGGATTACCATTTTTATTGAACGTGGCTGGCCTACCTGGTACGCAGTGAGTAGTTACTTCCTCGTTAATGTTTCTCTTTTTCAGAGCTGTGCATTGTGCCATTTTTATAGGTTTTAATGTTTCTATACACTAGTGCAATTTAAATGTAATCGTAGTGAATTAAATTAAATTCTCATGGACTTGTAAACAATTGAGTTAAGCAATACAATTTGAGTTTGAATTCATAAAGTACAATGTAAAATTGAATTAATGCTCACGTAAACTATTCATATTTTTTCTTGAATAATGTACTAATTTTTAATACATTTTCAAAGGCATTTAAATCGTTAACTTGATAGTATAATGGCCGAAAACGAAATAGCCAGAGTTGCATTTTGAGCTCCACCCGTTTGGAAAACCGAAATAAATTTATGGTTTCTTCAAGTAGAATCAAATTTTGTGATGTCAGGAATTGAAAAAGAATTAACAAAATTCCACTGCGTCATTGCAGCGTTAGATATGGAAGTTCTTTCTTATGTAAAAGATATCGTTGAGGTTCCACCTACAGATAATCCATACAAAGTTCTTAAGGAACGTATTGTAAAACATTTTACACAGTCCGAAAGTTCGCGATTGAGGACTTTGTTACAGGAATTGTATTTAGGTGAGAAAAAACCAACACAACTATTACATGAAATGAGATCGTTAGCTGGTAGTCAAATATCTGACGATGTCTTAAAAACATTGTTTATTCAGCGACTCCCTATTAATATTCAGCAGATATTGTCAATTAGTAAAGACAAACTTGATGATTTGGCTCAAATCGCGGATAAAATAAACGAAGTTTCTTGTTTCGGTACTTCAAGTGCAGAACATAATACTTCTTCCGTTGATTTAAAAAGGTTACAATCTCAAATTTCCGAACTTTCCGAGAAAGTTGAAAAATTGACTTTTCGACAAAAAAGTTACAATGGAAGTAAATTTCGTCAACGGTCTGGTTCAAGGCCTCGTTCGAATTCGAATAATGTCAATAAAACTTCGGAAAAGCAATATTGTTGGTACCATTTTAAATTTGGTAAAACTGCTAAAAAATGTGTCGGTAAATGTTCATACTCGAAAAACTGAATTCCGCTGCTGTTTCGGTGACGACAGATAGTGGGTTAAAGTTCAGTCGCCTCCACATATTTGACCAAAAATTAGGTTTTTAGTTTCTAGTTGATACTGGCGCGTCAATTTCAGTTTTTCCACGCGACCCACACATTCATAAGCAACCGACTACGGAGATAGCAATCTACGCTGCGAACGGAACAAAAATAAACACATACGGTTTTCGTAGATTAACGTTAGATTTTGGTTTAAAAAGGCAATTCAAATGGAATTTTGTTATTGCTGACGTAGTGCGACCTATCTTGGGTGCAGATTTTTTAGAATTTTTTGGGTTATTGGTGGACATAAAAAATCGCAAATTGATTGATAGTACTTCGAGATTTTCAGCTAAAGGTACACGGGTTCGCGGAAAATCGTTAGGTTTAACTACGATTTGCGGAAATACTGAGTATCATAGACTTTTGTCAAAATTTCCCGGTATTACAAATCAATCTTTTCTAAAGAGTCCTAAAAAGCACAATGCTACTCATTCTATCATTACAAGAGGTCCACCGGTTTGTGCAAAGGCTCGACGTTTAGCCCCAGACAAACTTAAAGCAGTTAAAAAAGAGTTTGACATTCTTATAGAACAGGGCATAGTTTCTCCTTCAAATAGCCCATGGTCTAGTCCCATTCATTTAGTTAAAAAAAATAATGATGAATGGCGGGTATGCGGCGACTATCGAAAGTTAAATTCGGTCACTTTAGAGGATCGTTATCCCATACCGCATATTCAGGATTTTTCATCTGACTTAGCTGGTAAAACTATATTCTCAAAAATTGACCTGGTAAAAGCTTACCATCAGATCCCATTAGACGTGGATTCAAAATCTAAAAGTGCGGTAATAACACCTTTTGGTCTTTACGAATACAATTGCATGTGTTTTGGATTATCAAACGCAGCGTAAACTTTTCAAAGGTTTATTGATCAAATTCTACGCGGATTAGATTTCGTGTTAGTCGCTTCCGCAACTGAAAGTGAGCATATGATGCAATTGGAACAAATTTTCGAGCGATTGAACTCGTTCGGTATTATTTTAAACGTCGAAAAATGCGTGTTCGGCCACCAGGAGTTACAATTCTTGGGATTTCTTGTTAATACTCAAGGTATTTCACCTCTACCTGGAAAAGTAACTGTTTTTCAAAATTTTCCCTTGCCAAAGACTGTTGAGGAATTGCGTCGTTTCTTGGCTATTTTAAATTTCTATCATAGATTTTTAAAAAACGCTGCTACTATTCAGGCCCCCCTACATGATCTTTGTAAAACTAAGAAAAAAAGGGATAAAACTCCGATCACCTGGTCAGAGGCAAACATTAAAGCTTTCGACGCTTGTAAAGAATCCGTTGCGAATGCGGTAACATTAGCGCATCCGATAGTAAATGCGGAAATTACATTAATGGTAGACGCTTCAGATATTGGCATTGGAGCAGTTTTGCAACAGATGTTGTACAACCATTGGCGTTTTTTTCACGCAAACTTACAACTACCGAACGTAACTATAGTACATATAATCGTGAGTTACTTGCAATTTATAGCTCTGTAAGGCATTTTAAACATATGTTAGAAGGACGAAAATTTTGCGTTTATACTGATCACAAGCCATTGACGTACGCGTTTTGTAAGAATAATGGTAATAACTCGCCTCGACAAGTAAGACACCTCGAATACATTTCTCAATTTACTACAGATATACGTTTCATTTCGGGAAACGAAAATTTAGTGGCAGACACACTTTCCAGAGTTTCTGAAATTCATATATCTGATAATATTAATTATGAGGAAATGGCACGTGCACAGTCTTCTGGGGATGAGTTGCATGAGGCTAGGAGATCAGAAGTTTTGAAGCTCAAACCTTTCGTATTCACGCCAGATGGTTTAGAACTACGGTGTGACACGTCCACTGGCAAGGTACACCCTTACGTACCTCAAGCATTTCGAAAAGTAGTTTTCGAAAATCTTCATAACTTATTTCATCCAGGAGTGCAGGCAACTGTTGACTTGATCCGACAAAGATTTGTCTGACATTCCTTAAAAAAAGACGTCTCGGAGTGGACAAAATCCTGCTTGCAGTGTCAGAAGTTTAAGGTTCAACGACACACAAAGTCTGAACCTGGCATTTATCCTCTTCCACGATGTCGTTTCAGTCATGTCCACATAGATATAGTAGGTCCATTACCTCCATCTAAAGGATACAGGTATTGTCTGACATGTGTTGACAGATATAGTCGATGGCCAGAAGCATTTCCAATGCCAGACCAGACAGCAAATACAGTGTCTGAGAATTTCTTTTCTGGGTGGATAGCTCGCTTCGGAGTACCAGATGTAATAGTGTCCGATCAAGGCACACAGTTCGAAGGCAATCAGTTCCAAGAATTGGCTCGATTTCTTGGGTGCGAAAAGAGACGCACCACAGCATATAATCCCGCATCAAACGGAATCGTAGAGCGATTTCACCGGCAACTCAAGAACGCTATCAAATGTCACTCTACTGACCGCTGGAGTGAAGTTCTACCAGTAATTCTTTTGGGCATTCGTTCCAGTTTGAAGCCTGATATCGGCGTTTCAGTAGCAGAGTTAGTCTACGGCTGTTCTTTAAGACTGCCTGGAGAATTTTTTAGATGCCATACAACTGATTTACCACAGTATCATGATTTCCTAAAGGTTTTACGGGAATATATGAACAGATTGCGTCCTGCTCCAACATCTCGCCACTGTCACAAAGACATTTTTGTGCATAAGGATTTATTATCGACAAGTCATGTTTTTGTTAGACAAGACTGCGTGCGCAAGCCCTTACAGCAACCATACGATGGACCTTATGAAGTGTTACAGCGTAATGAAAAATTTTATAAGCTCAAAATCAAAGATAAAGAGGTCAACATAGGTATTAACCGCCTAAAACCAGCTTACATTTTGAGTGGAGTTGACAATGCCAGAGAACTCCGTTCAAAACGCACTGTCCATTTTTTATTACCTTAATGCTTGCATATCGTGTTATGGTTGCATGCACAATTTTATGGTTATAACTGCATACATGGTTACTGTTACATTGTTGTAATTGTTTTTTTTTCGTCTTTCAGACTGGAGGGGGAGTACTTGTGGCGTTGCGGTCTGAAATGCAAAGTCCGAACTACGAATCTCTGACGTTGGACTACGTCGCTTGCAGCCGATAATTGACGTAAATCTCATACCTGAATGGAGATATGAGTGAAGGGCGAAATCAGCAAAACGTGCACAGTATGTTTTGGATATAACTTGACCGCCTCCCCACAGCTTGCTCTCTCTCCCCGTCGGTTCTAGCTAGCAGTCCGGCATGTTCTCGCCGGTTACCTTTTCGCAGTTTTTTTCTATGCTGCTTCAATGTTAAAGTGGTTAAGTTTTATATATGTTAGAATGTTTTAGTTAAATTTACAAATTTCCTAAATGTTAATAAAGATAGTTATTTATTTAAACTTAGTGTTATTTATGAAGAAACCTATAATCCGTTCTCAGGAACATTTTCATGTGGAAGGCTTTTCTAGAGTTAGATTTCTTTTTAGAGTTTAAGTGGGGACTCTAACAAAGATACCAAACAACCCACAAACATAAACTGCAATTAAATGAAAACCTTTATTCAAAACATACTAATTTATTTACAGTTATACTTACTTGCGGATACCGTGTTAAAAATACTGTCAATCATGTTGCCATCATGTTGTGTCAAAAAAAAAATTATCACCTGAATAAATTGCCGGAATGCAAAGCTTTAACTTCAAAGTTGGAAGACTTAAGAGGACGCCGGCAATATTTGTTTTAACAACATTAAAAATTTAAAATTTAGAAAAAAAGGGAGTTAATGTATATCGAGATAAAAACCAAGAACATTTAAAAGCTGAAATTTGTTTCACAAAATATAAAAATGCAAGCAAATTATAGCAGAATTTACTCAGGTTTGCACAGTGGGGAAAAACTCCGAAAATACATTGTTTGCATTTTGATATTTTTAAAATATTTTTTTCAGCATTTTTAGTTAACCTGAACTCACTTTTCTTTATACGTTAAATTTTAGATTAAATTACCACTGCAGGTGAAATAGAATTTATCATGAAAAGTTTTCCCCCGTTATGCAGCGATCTCTTAAACCTTTCATCATATAAAAACGAAGCTTCAATTACACTGCAATTATGTGTGTAGAAATGAAGTACTACAACAATAAAGCTAAATTATTGTAAATTCATTTGCTCTTTTTCATTGGCGGCTTTTTATAGATGATAAATTTAAATATTTCGGAGCTTTAGACACGTTATAAAGTTTCTCTTTAATAGAATATTCGGCCGGGATAGCCTGGTTGGCAGGGCATTGGGCCCATGTCCAAGAGGTCGTGAGTTCGATCCCCGTCTATTGTAGACTCCTCGTGTATAAAATATTGACTAGTGCAAGCCAAATCTGTCGGGTGTCAGAAAGTTTTCCAAGTTCCCACAACAAATCAAAAACTCTGGGGGTACTGGATCGAAGATTGAACATGCTGTTGTTCAGTTAAATATAATCTGCGGATGGATGGTGTGTGAATGTGTTCTGCCCGTAAAACGGGATGTGACTTGTATGTTTGGCAGAAGTCTAAGTTTTGGCCGCAGATGGCACCACTGGGAAAAAAGAAGAAGCGCACCCTCTACCTTAAAAGATAGGCTTCTTAGTGGCATAAGACAGCAATAGAATATTCAGCTTTTTAACATTTAAAAATCGGATAAGATGAAGGTTTCAAGTCACATTTTAGTAAGTTAAAGTAAAAAAAAGCTGCTAAAATTATAAAATACTAACCATGCATTGCCTTTATTTCATATCTACGAGCTTCAAACTGGCGAATTCTATAAATGCCTAACATTCATTAAGGCTTGTTATTGGATTGTAAAATTTAGTTTCAGCCTAAATTTCTTGCTCTTCAGTTTTATACTTTCAGATTTATAATCTCGAACTGCACTCAAATATTTACTATTAATTTGTGAAACATTATTTAAATAATGCAGCTCGGGCGTTAACGTGTTAAATGCGTAAATTTTAATATACTCTTTGTTCTACATTCTTTGTAAACAGAATAGCCATCTCAAGGTTACGTGATTTCTCCTCTCTCTTCATCTTTCCCCTCTCCATTTCCATGTTTTTGGCATAAATATTTTTTTTCCTCATAACATAACAATATATTCCAATCAATATATATTCACGTCATACCAATATATTCCAACCTAGGCGTACATATGTTAGGAATGAATCAAAGGTGCACTCTAGGGGGAAAGGAAAGATTCGTGAAAACCATGGTAACGGAGAGGATGAGTGAAGCTCGGAGAGTAAAGACAGCGTGAGACATTGGCATTTAATTATGAAACACATCTCTAATGAGATGAGGTTCCATAGTCTCCTTTCACTACCACTGAAAATAGCAAGTTCTTGTATCAATCCTTTCTATACACAGTAAAAAGGGAATTGTATCCACAAAATTCCTATGAAGTTAGATAAAAAACTTACCGAAGTTAAAGATTATCTCGAAACTCATGTCTGTGTTGAGACCCTTCTTCAGTATAGAAACCGCATTAAGTGCTAGCTTGCTCTCAGAAGCAGGAGGAGACTCGTGGAAAGACTTCACTTCCCGGCACTGTAAAAAACAAACATTCATAGATCAACAGATAAACATAACATTCCTCAGATAAACATAACATTCCTCAAACAGATAAACATAACATTCCTCAATGAAACATTCTGCTGATTTTTCCCTTGCGCTTAGATTTTATAACTGTCGTTGAACAGTCAACCCAATTTTAGGTTTATGACTACCAATGTTCAATTTCGTAACCATGTTATTTTGAACCCAATCCAGAAGACAAGGAGACTCCTGGATCAAGTATTGGGAGAAATTTGCCTTCGTGTGAGGACTTGTGATGGAACAAACTTTTGATGGATGGTCACATGGAGAAGAAAACCACGAAAACCTCTCACGTTTAACCCGAAGGTAAGGGGACTCTAACCCCTGATCGGTTTACCACTGAGGATATTTTACGTCAGCACTGTGATCAGTACAAGCCGGGTGAAGAATTCGAATCAACCAGTCATCGCTGGGATTCGAACCCGGTCCACCTCATTGAAAGGCGAGCGCTCTAATCCCTGAGTCTCCACGGGTCTAGAACTTAGAATGCAAAAATCTTAAATTGAGATCTATCGGTAGCCTATATTTATTCCGCACTTATTTCAGTAAAAAAGAAAAAAATACATTGATTTTTCCTTAATTATCAGGTTTTTTGCATTTATCATGATTGTGAAAAACCTTTAACAAAAACTTATTTCTGACAAATTTTCAGCAAAAAAGGTATAGATTTTTTTTGCAGACATCTCGATACCTACCAAACACCAGATCATCAGCCGACCGAAATAACTCTTCCAAACAAAAATAAAAGAATATGAAATCTCCTGAATGGTAGTGAATTTTATTTATTTATTTGAGAAGAAAGAGTTATTTTAGAATATTACCACCAAGGTATGTTTATATGAAAACTTTAGTAAAAGGCATATTTATTTGAAAATTTCAGTAAAAAGCATACTATGAAAATTTCAATAGAATGCACATTTATATGATAATTTCAGTAAAATACATATTTAAACAAAATTTTTAGTAGAAGTCATATTTATATGAAAACATTAGTAGAAGTCATATTTATGAGAAAACTCTTAGACGTCGTGCAAAGTCTGATCTAAAACTTCAAAACATAAACTTACATGCTGTTAACATTCCATGTATCAACTTAACATATTGCACACTTTCTCCATAAGTGTGCATGCAAAATATCCAAACCTCAATCGTTGAATTTTTCGGCTTTTTCGATCATTTTATTTCAAAAGCAACTTTAATTAGTCGATTCACACATAGGATTCAACATCTCCGCAATCCTCTTATTTTAAATCTAACACAGACAAAGAATTTTTTGTATAAAGCGTTAGGATAAATTCTTCTTCGTGGAGGATCTTCTGAATCAAAACAACCAATATTTACGTTAAGCAGAGTAAGCTGTGGTAAGTCATGAGAACTATGAAACGTGTAAAACATTTCTTTCCACGTTTCTTTCGTCAACTACACAAAGCGCCCTCTTGCGATGTCAAATGGTTAATATGTTGTATTTTAATGTGGTGAAAAATTGTAAAATTCCTGCTAAATTTGCAAAACACTCATATTGACAGGATTTTGAACTTATCTTCTTTTTTTTTTAAATCCCCGATACAAAATTCCAATTCCCAAATTCATTTATGAAATCCTCCGTAAAACTTCATTATTTCTTTATTTTTTTTAAACTGAGGACACCAGAAACGACAGAACTAGTTAAGTTTGTGATCCCCCAAAAGTTTGATGCATCTGAAAGTCAAATCTCCGAAATTCATCTGGTATAAGACATTACTAAAAATGAAACCTTTAGTATTCTCAATCAACTCAAATCAAAGTTATTTCATAATTAATATCAATATACTCACATAATTGCCACATATGAGGCTGGTCTAAATACAAATTGGTAGGTGTAATAGTGCCAGATATATAGCAGTGGTAAAAGCACTACACTTTAGGATTTTATAATAAAGCAAGAAGAATGGAGTATAGTTTATGTCCCAGTTCACATGAGAGCATTTGAATTGAAAGCACAATCGGGCTAATATGGATGCAAGCATCCAGAACGGGACAATGTGCTGTAGTACGATTTTTACACGTAAAAAGTGAGCAGACATGTGGCTTGACCGGCATTGACCATTTGTGGCATTGACCGATGCAGACATTTATAGTCGAATGTTCGCTATTAATAACGGAAAATGTCCGAGGTAAATGAATGATCTGTAAATAAATTATGCAATGATAAATCTGTAAATAAATGATGTAAAAAGCTTCTAGAAGGTGTATATTAATATCTGATAAGCAAACATCCAAAGTCAAAAACCACTATGATCTCCAATTAACCAAATTGATATCGTTGAACAAGCTTCTCTGAAAGGGTATCAATACAAGTTTCAGTTATCATCTTTTTTTTTTAATTGCAACAAATTCGCACCATATTATTAATCAAGGTAGCATTTCTATAGTTAAACGTTGAATTACTTTTTCTCAGAGGATATGATTCAACTTAAATGAAAAACGCGGTTTTATTTAACACGTTTTTAAGTTTGCAACAAATTTGCATCCTATTATCTTTCAAGGTAGTGTTTCTATAGTTCAATGTTGAACATGCTTTTCAACAATCAATGTTTAACATGCTTTTTAAGTATGATTCAACTTAAATGAAAACAGGTTTTATTTAGTTAACACATTTTGTTTTCAATTGCAACACATTTGCACCATATTAAGGTAGCGTTTCTAAAGTTAAACCTTGAACAACATTTTCTGAGAGGATATGATTCAACTTGAATAGAAACATGGTTTAATTTGATACCTTTTTAGAGCTGCATCCAATTTGCACCCAATTGTAGTGGAAAATACTCATATTATATCGGTTTAAATAACTGATATAAGGTTTTTACGTGGAATCACTCATTTTTACAAAACAGAAGGAGTTAGAATACAAAAGAAGTCCAACCTCTGGTTGATGATGGGATGCGATGTGAGATGATGATGATTCGGAAGATGATGAGAGAGCATCGAGGAGACCTAGTTGCACTAGACTCTGACTAAATGAATCTCGATTCACGAGACTGTCTATCCTGCTGATGATGGGATCTAGGATGTCTCTGTGACACGACAGCCTGCTCAGCACCCACGCCTGCAACATCACAGAACTAAGATGAAATATTCTTTCGTAGAATCAACAAATATGCAAAGTTTTTTTTGGGGGGGGGATTTTTTATTCAGTTACAGTATAATTTGGAACAAAAATATTTTACGGGTGTTCATTGTAAAAGGTGAAAAAACTGAATGATTTTTAACTTCGCTCATCCATCCCCAAATAAAGTTCATCATAGTTTTTCATCTTAAAAATCAATAAGTCAATATTTTCTAAAAAAGAACAAAAAAACATTTTAAAAGTAAAATATAGCATTATTGTTGATTTATATAAAACGTTTTGCCACTCAGTTAATCGTATAGAAATTAACGATTAACTCGATTTGAAAAATAATCAACCGTACATAATTTTTTTTTAACCCAAACAATGCAGAAAGTGTAGAATAGAATATTAAGAAATTAATAAGAAATAATTTTCTCCTCAACGAGTTTTATAACAGCTCAAATAAGGAGCTGTTTTAATATTTCTTGTATTAAATTTTTATGTTTTTAAGATTTTTAATTCAAATGTTAAGATTTATGTTTAGACATCTGGCATCTCATTTCTCTCTTTTTTTGTTTCTTTCGACACCCACTTAAGCTCAAGTTTATAAAATAAAGATCTCGAGAGAGCAAATACATTTTTCTAAAATCGGTAAATAGTCAATATTAAGAAAAAAAAACTGGGGAAAAAAATTCACGAAGAATGCAATTAATATCACAATAGCTTTCGTTCAAATTAGAATTGTGAAAAAAACTCGAGTGAAATTGGTGATATAAAAGAGACCCTTTACAGTTGCATTTCTACGTTCTGCAGAGGGACACACGCGGTGTTCTTTTTTTGCCACAAATTTAACAGTTATTAATTGTAGTTCTAACTAATTATTGAATGTTCATTTTTCTATTCCATTCTACTCCCCGAACATGTTTCGACACACCTCAGAAATTACCAAGTAGCGAAATTTTACAGTTTTTGCGCAAGATAACGAAATATAATACAAGGTGAACAGGGGCTATCTTTTAATATAGAGAGATGATCGAATTTTTAATTTTATATCTTCAACAGGAATTGTTTCAACGCGAGTCTCTAATAATCTAATCTAAGCAAATAGCTGTCAAAATAACCCCTATATAAATGTAACAAATAAAAACAATGCAAAACAAACTAATTATGCTAACTCGTGGATAATCTTATGAATGGTTTCGTATAAAATACATTACGGAGATCTTGCAAATTTACGTTAGCTTCCGTGCGTAAGATTTTAAGTAATAGCGCATGTGCCCGTAAAAAAATATCAAACTTACCTAAGTGAAAATAAGAGATTTTGCAAAAATCCATAAGTTAAAAACGCTAACAAAGAGAAATATTATTTAAGCTATGACCACAAAATCAAAACAAACATTTACAATGGACGAAGATTATCTCTTCAAAGCTGTGGCATACGTTTCAAGATGCTTTGGTCTACATAAAACTGCAGTTTTGTAAACTGAAAAATTTGGTAGATTTTGATGAATTTAGCAATAAATCAAAGGTTATTATTTAAATGTGTGACCTAAGAATTAATAATTTCGTTTTTGTTCCAGTCTAAATGAGAGAGAGAGAGTGCAGATTTCATAATTTTAAAATATCGGAAATATATCTAGTTTCTTATAGAACACGTGCAATTAGACAACCATAACTAATAAACTTAACAAAACTTAAACAAAAACTAATAAAATTATTTTTTTGTTGAATCAATCAATGGTTGTAGTATCACAAGATTCATTTTTAAATTTCATCCAAATATTTCTTCGAATTCGCATTCCATGTTAATGTTTTTAATTCAGAGGTAGGTTTAAATAGAAAACAATATTTAACATAACAACTATTATATTTAACAACAAGCTTGTAGATTTGTCACTGTAGCGTTAATCTTTGCTAGCATAACGTAAAGATATGCAGCACATCTAAAATAAACGTGAGCACAATCGCAGTAGCTTCAAATATTACGCACGGGAGCTTGCAGAAGTTAACTTAAAAGTGCGAAATTTCCTTACTAATTTTTAAAAAAAAAAACGAACGGTCTGTTAGACAATATTAAATAAATCAAACTGACGCTTATTCATATTTGCTCTACCAGTAATAAACATCTAAAAATAATAATTCCAAATTTAATTGGTATTCGTGTAGGACTTACCACTTTTGAAGTTCCTAATTTGAACCAATATTTCCATTCCTTAAATGTTAATTTCTCTTCTAAGGCAGCGGTAAGTTCTTTAGTTCTTAACATAAACATAGGGAGCTGCAAACATACGATAATATTAGTACCAACTTGAAGCATTAAAGATACAACAGAGAAGTAAAAATAAGGGAGAAAAACTCCGCCTTGGCAGTAGGGCTAAAATACAGACAAATATAAAGAGGGGGCATGTGAGAAACTAAACTGGAGAAAAACCCACAGAAGGGAGGCAAACTCGAAACATGTTATTCGCAGTTGAAATCAAACAAGCCACAACAGTTTTTATTTATTTATTCATTTATTACATTTTTTTGCAAGTAAAAAACTCCATTGGCGATTGTAATGAGCACGAACAGGTACACATACGGAAATATCCCTAAATAGGGACATATTTTATAAATTTTCTTACAATACAACAGAGATTTGGTCATTAAAAAATAAAGACTCTTACATAATATGTGGCAAGGAAGATGATAAAAACGGAGAGTTGATCAAAAATCTTGATGATCAATTCACAAAAGATGTTAAAATAGCAACTATTAAAATAACAATTTTTCCTAACGAAAGCAATAATTTGATCAAATCCCTTAACTGTTTTAGTAAAAAAAAATGAAATAAACAAGTCAGAACTTGCATAGCTCTGTGTTACATTTGTTATCAATCCCTTTAACACCTCACTTCGATTAATAAAATTGTTAGCGTATAAAAAACGGTCTTGAACGTTGTTGGCGGAAAAACGAAGGGAACATTTTTTAAAAATCTTTGAAAGTTCCCCGGAATATTTAAGATAAACAAAGAACATTTTCCTGAATCGTTATGGAATTAAATTCATCAAATGTCGTCACGTATGAACTATATGCGATTATTACCAATAGCCACATAGCTACGTCACTTGTAGGTACCCCATTGGAAATTATGCTCAAGGATTTAAGTGTGGCTCTTCGATCTACTTAATCGATTCCAAATTCTTTTCGATCTTATTAATGAAACTGACTTTTTGCCAGATGAAATTATTATCCTGGATACGAATCAGTCGGACCCTAGTGATGAGCCTCTTCGTGATACAAGTGATCATAGGTTTGGTAAGGTTTTAACACACAAATCTGCTTCAATGCCTCTAAATCACAAAGAGCTATAGTTGTAAAGCAGCCATTATAAAAATAAACTGGAACTATCAGTTGAACTTAATCTCGTCAAAGAAAAAGAGCTGAAGATGAATGTAAAATTAAAGAAGATCAAAAACCCTCAAATTCAGTTTTAAAAAAATCGAAAAAAGTAAACAAAAATCTAAGAAAACAGCTCCTCGAAGCAAGTCACACGTATTAAATAAATTATCCTAAGAAACGGAAGAGGTAAGATATTACTTGATTTAAAAAAACTTCATTGGCAAAATATAAAGATGAAAATAAAAATCGAAAATAAAAATACCCATTCTCAAGATTTTACGAGCTCATTCATTTGAAGATATGGAGCAATGTTTTCAATATGCTAAACTTGGGTTCATAAGAAATGTGCCGGCCAAAAGTTTAAAAAAAAATGTGTATGTAGTAGCTAAAACATAACTAAACCAAAAACCTATTAAACATTGAATCTAATAATTTGTTTTATAAGTGTTTTTTAATAATTAATTATGTTCATTGTTATTACAATACAATTCCCAATAAAAGTCATGATTGAACTTTCTAGCAATAAACTGTTATGTTTTATGGTCACTTTTTTTACTCAGAATGTCATTTACTGAAATCGAAACAGTTCAGAAAATGCAGTACTGTATTTTACATTGTGATACAAAGCACTTTTGTATAAATTTTCTAGTCAATTTTGTGTGATAATTTTTTGTAAAGTCATTTTTGTATAAATTTTCTAGGTTTGTAAGTAGGGAGCTGGTGATACAGATTAAGCAAATGGTTTCCTAAATCGTAACACTTTCAGAACTTGCAAAAATAATGAATTTTTAGTACTTTCTGGAAAAATATATTTACCAAAAATAATATAAATATTTGAATAACTGTATTTAATTATTAAAATACTTCAAATGTAATTGTTAGTGATTTATGTCTAATAAAAATTAAAATGTGAAAGTGGTATGTTATTTAGGTAACTCTATTAACAATAACCGATTGATTACATTAAAGACCGTAACAATATTAATAAACAATATTATTTCATTTTTTCACTAAAACAGTTAAGGGATTTGATCAAGAGATCGCTTCATTTCTTTAAGGAAATCACCACACAGGGTTGTTATTTTAACATGTTACGTGAACTGATCATCTAGCTTAGAGATTTGATCAAATCTCTGTTTTTATCATCTCCTTGTACATTTAAATCACACCAAAATAAAGTTTAGAGAGATTATTTGAGGTATGCGGACCTATAATAAATAAGCACAAATTCTTTCCAAAATTTATTAAAAAGAAATATGCTGAAACTGTGGTAGGTAATTATCCCACTTTAAAGTCAACTTTGAGAACCAATTACTTCTTCTTCAGCAACACAACTACCTTGTGTAGGTCAAGACTCTCAATGTTGTGCTTCCTCTAAACAGAGCGAAGATTTCGTCCTTTTTTTTAAAACTCTCTATTCACATGGTTATCTCCTCCACTACATCCTTGAATAATATGCAGTATTAAAAGTACCTAGTTCGATAACATTTGGCCCAGTAGTTTTCCTTTATGACCATTTCAAAGTGCAACTTTAATTATAACCACTTCCGAACTTAACATTTTTTTAATCCAATCCAAACTCAAGACAAAAAAAGGAGTGCCTTTGTAGGGAAGATAGTTATAGACAATGCCAACCTTCATCTATCAAAAGGTGTCTCATGATTGAATCGAGCTAGATTGCCTTATAGGCACACAAGTGAGATGACATTTAATAATTGCACTGGCAGTTACGCCACACCTTTGCATCCCATGACTATCCATACACTAATGCTGAAGGCATGCATAGAAAAATAAAATTGCTGAGTGCTTTTGTAGAACCCCCAATGGCTGAAAGGGTATTGAAGTGACCCTCTCAATACATTGACCTGGGTTCGTATCCCAGCGGTGACTTGTTGATATGAATTCCTCACCCGACTCGCATCAACCACACTTTTGAAGTAAAATATTCTCAGGGGTAGATGAATCATAGGTTAGAATCCACTTACAGTCATGGGAGGTTTTCGTCTTCATGTAACGTAAATGCGGGTTAGTTCCATCAAAAAGTCCTCCACGAAGGCTAGTTTGTCCCAATGTCATCACCCCAGGAGTTTTCTTATCTTCTGGGATGGTTTAAAACTACAAGGCTACGGAGTTGAGCGAAAACTCAAAATTGGGTTGGCGGTTCAACACTGTTTATAAATAAAAATAATGATGTTGCTTTGTTTTGCTTTGGATGAAAGTTATTGCTAAAATGTTTGGGAATCCAATATACAAATTAATTATTATTAATTTTATTATTTTTTACTAACTCAACATTATTGTATTCAGCACAACATCCCAGAGTAAGCCAAGGCTTTTTGTTGAATTTTCCTTAAGGACAACCTATCTTTTGACCAAGACGGCCAATTTTTCACCCCCCAATCACTCTAAAGTCAAGTCATCGCTATTTTGGCCTTCCGACTCATTAAGGGCTTTAGCACACACAAAAAACAATTATCCGATTTTTTTTACTTCCATTCCAGCAATATTAGCAGTCCAGCCCATTCTCTTAATGTCTCAAGTTCTTTAGAAGTTCTATAAATTTAAAATATCTACGCTAAAGTCTCCCTTCCTTTTTTACGACACAGCCAAGGATGCCTCGGGGTAGCTCTTTTTCAAAAACTACTATATTTTGTGTTCTACGTTTAAGGTTAAGACAATTTTTCTTTATCATATATGAGAACAGATATAATGAGAGTTTTATAGTTAAGATCCCGGTGATGAAATGACACCTCAAAAGAGTCTAAAGACTCAAAAAGTTTTGTTGGCTAATAAAACTTTTGATTTTAGAGGTTAAGTCATTTTTTGCATGAACAAAAGATCCAAGGTAAAGATCCAAGATGAAATCAAGAAATCCAACAAAAGATCCAAGGTGAAATCAAGAACAGTTTTAAATACATGATGGCTAATTTTTAGACGATTGAGTGTACCAGCTAATGGTGCTTTCTGTACTGTTATATACTTAAGTACATGATATGTCACACACTTACGTGTATGAAAGCACAGAAAACACCAAACATCATTTACTGAACCGTTTTGGCTTAGGGGATATAGTGTTCGCCTTCGAATGAGCGGAACCAGGTTTGAATCCCAGCGATGGCTGGTCGGTACGAATTCTTCCCCCAGCTCGCACCTACCACCGTGCCGATGTAAAATATGCTCAGTGGTAAATGGATCATGGGTTAGAGTCCCTTTGTCGTCAGGCTAACCATGGGAGATTTTCGTTGTTTTCCTCTCCTTGTAACACAAATGCGGGTAAGTTCCATCAAAAAGTCCTCCACGTTGGCAAATTCCTCCCAATACTTAATCCAGGAATTCCCTTGTCTTCTGGATAAGGTTCGAAATTTCAAGGCTGTGGAGTTGAACATTAGTAGTCGTAAGCCCTAAAATTGGGTCCGCTGCTCAACGACGGTTATAAAATAAAATATTAAAAAAATATCATTTACTGCCAATACCATACAATTTGCAGCTAGGGCGGAAGAGGAGAAGGCTTCTATCTGGGCTGATACACTCCCAGCAGCAATATCAAAATCATGAACAACTACTTATCACTAACAATTTAGTTACGTCTAAAATACTCTTTAAGTTTTAACCTAGGCATGCTTCGATGTCATAAAAATGCTCTGTTTATGGATTTCTTATTTCGCCGATTCTGATACATCCCAAACTTTATTTTAAAGAAATGAAAAAGACACCAAGTACAGGCAAACTTACCTCTTCAATAAATTGTTCTAAATTTTTGGAAACAGAACGGTTTTTGTTGACCGAGTTCATATTGCTGAATATCTCTCTGAAAAACATCCGGAAATATATGAGTCCAGGTTAAATTAAAAAACACAGATAAAAATATTCAAACACTAAGTGAAGAAAAAAAAACTTACTTCTTGTGCATTAGATTCATGAAGCTAGCCAAAACACGTTCATGAAAACTTCTCAATTTCATAAGCTCTCTCATGTGCAAGGCCTTTAAAATAGTTTTCAGTCAAAGAGTCAAATTAATGATAATGATTTAAAAGGAGAAAATTCAATGTTAAAATTCGAGGAGGAAACAACACTGTATTTTCATGGTAGGAAAAACTACCGGGATGGGCCCAATTTAATAAGTTTGTTTTTAGTGAAGTATAATTTGTGCAGGAAAAAATCTACATATAAATGAAAAGAAGGTTCAGAGTTTTTTTTTAACACTTATTAAAAATGCTCAAAATGTTTCCCATCCCTTGGATGCACAACTAACTTCTACGCATTAGCTTAATTCGTAGAAGTGACCCTTAACAAAGCTTCTTAACATGATTTTTGATCCTATCAAGATCTGTCACCAAGGAAAATAAAAGCTACAGTTTAAGAGTGCCTTTCACTCGAAGCAAAGCGGTGATTTTAAAACTCTACATATCATCTTGCCGTGAAGAATTATCTGGGCTTTAGAATGAACAAATAAAAATCGCCAATTTCGAGACATTTTCCCGCTTAGATGAAAAGGATCATAAATCATTGCCTTATAACAGTTCTTATGAGCCCAGATAATACAGCATTGGAGTAAGTTCTTGAAGTAAGAGCGGTACTTTGTTGAGGTCATGGAGGCGACAGTATAGGAATAGATGTGGACAGGATGGATTTGAATCTCTGTGAAATATCTTTTATTGCATTGATTGTATGTCACCGTGATGCAACAGAGTGTCCGCCGCAGATTTGATGGCCTTTCCCAGCTCATTTAATGTTTTTAAATACCTCTGGTCATTCTCTCCAGTCTCATAGCTCCAGGAAATCAACACGGAGATGCTCTTGGCGATTGGTTCCTCCCATACACATAAGATGATAATTGATAATATAAAATGAATAGATTTACAGTTGCGTTTATAATTCCTTTTTAATTGGATACCTGCAAGTGACGTCACGCGTGAGTTAGCCTATTAGGTTCGATACACACGCGCGACGTTGCGCCATCTAGACAGTGAAGAGCACACGAATACCTTTTGTCACACCATCAACTACTATTTTGCTTTTTCTCAATAACTTAGTTGTGTTGTAATGGTCAGCGCCTTGTTTTTATTAACTTACTCAAAGTGATAATGTTATATCGAAGTCATTTATTCGAATGTTTTGTATACGTAATCTTTTAAGTTGAGTCAGAAATGACATACATATTGAAAGTATGCAAAGAGAAATATACCATACATAATATGTATGTTAAGTTGAATTAATAACATTATTTACTTTCTCAAAAGGTAGGTAGATGGTTCAATTTCAGGGGAAAAAAACATATTTAATTTAAATAGTTAAATAAGAATTATAATTACTGAGTGGGTAATGGGCCACAGCATAAAAAAATTAATCTATATTATTTTTTTCATTTATTTAATCCAATAATTATTAAAAATGCTTTATTTATAAAGTATGGGAGTAACATCCTTAAAAGCGTTTATAATGATAAAATCCAAAATTTAAGTGAAATTGGTTAAATAGTTCCTGGGAAATAAACATTTTAGAAAATCGTTAGAAAAAATTACGTTTCGCGACTAATTTTATTACAAGTTAATTAATATATTTAAAGTATATCTTTTAAATCATTAAACATATATCTTAATAAGTGAAAATACGATCATTAAATCAAAAATAATTCAAGAGTTTTTGTTCTCCTCACTCATACATTTTATATTAGATTAATTTTTTCAAAGTGATCAATTCATGGAATTCCATGATCAATTCATGGAATTACGAGACAATGGATAAAAAACAGTGTTTTGTAATCTAAGAGTAGAAAAGAAAAGATGTTACGTTTTTTAAGGAGCGTCCCAAGGCTTGACCGACGTTTTCTTTCAGTCTTTCACCCTGGGTGTTCTTCTCCTTCTTGAGCGACGAGGTGTGAATAATTCTCTCGAGGGCTCTCTTTATGTCGGTTGCGAATTCGAACACCACATCCAGGGCACGCTCGATCTGAAAACAAATATTTCAATGATGCTTATGAAATATTACAATATAAAATAAATATTTATACAAATATATTACTCCATAAAACAATCATGCTTAAGATCAGTAATACTTTATATGTTAACAGTCTGTTTCGAAACTCTTTTACTGTGAAAAAAAAGCCACAATTTAAATGCCTTATTTTTGAGCAAAAACTAATATGTTAAGCAAAATTATTTTGCCGTAATAAATTACCATGGCTTTAGGACGGACAAGGAACTTAAATATTTTAAACGCTCTTTAACTCATAAAAAAATCGTGAATTTGGAGAGATTTTTTTCCCCAAGAGGAAAAATATCAAAATCAATGAATAATTTTCAATTTTTGAAATTTTTTATAAGCCCAGGTAATATAGTGTTGTATATATACAGGGTGATTCTAAAAAGATGGGCAAAATTTCAGGAAGTGATAGTACACACCCAAGCAAACAATTTTTATCAGAGAATGCATGGTCGAAAACAAAACGCAAAGGTGCTGGCGCATTTGGAAAGTTGTTTGATCAAACGTGAAAGCTTCATTCCTGTTGCGAGTTACTGCGCTACGTTACTTGTCGCCAAGCTTTCGGCCGCTGCAGGGAAAGTTCGTGATATGCCTGGTGTGTTTCAGAATGTTCGCCTATCTTTTCTTCGCCGTTGTACTACGTGCATAGCTGCTGCCGGCCACTGTTTTGAACACTTATTGTAATCACATGCCATTAAATTTGCTTTTATAACTTAACTTCATCGTTCTTTGTGTGTTTTGGCCTCAGATAAGAACATAAACTTTGACTCCCTCTAGGGGTTTTGCGTTTTGTTTTCGACCATGCATTCTTTGATAAAAATTGTTTGCTAAAGTTCCTAAAATTTTGCCCATCTTTTTAGAATCACCCTATATTAAAAAACCAGATCCACATACTTTTCTTCCTTATTGGCGCATTGCGCCATTTACAGAATTAACACAGAGGGCGCTTGTTAAAGCTAAGCTTAACTTGACATAACGATCAAGAATGTCTGTTATGAAAATAGCATATTATTCGCAAAAACACGTTCTTTCACGTGACGATGGATGGTTGACCCTGTAAAGCTAAGCACAGATGGCGCAAAGGGGTTAAAATTCGTCGTAAGACACTTCCGGGTTACTACTTCCGATTGATTTTTAAGCCTTGTAAAAGGGAGACATCCAATATTATTAGGCTTATAGTGTTTGCCATAAAACGCGTTTTTTAAATTTAAATTTCAATGAAACAAACAACGTAAGAATTTGGAAGACTCCGCAAGCATACTATGAGCTGCAACACGCAACCCCTAAAATAACTAACACTCAAAATAAGGCAAACTTTATTTATATCGTGATATTAATTTTGTTAAATTTGTTTCAGGATCACGACCTCCTGGAATTTATAAATTGCCGGAAATTCTTATGAATGGTAAAAGGACGCGCAAATTTAAACATAACATAACATAAGCGGGGGGGGGGATACACCAGAAGTTTGCTTAATTTCTTTCGGTTTTAGGAAGCTTGTTATTGTTTACATTCAGTCAACCATCGATAGTGCGTGTGAAAAACAACCTTAAGTGAATTTGTTGAAAAGCCGTTTTACACTCTATCGAAGTATGTCAAATGCCGCTTGCGAAACTTACGCTTTTATCCTTCTTTTTTAAAGACCTAACAAAAAAAAATTAACGTTTTATACCACCCATACTTTTTTAGATCTGGAAAAGTGTTTTTCAAACATCACTAGTCAACAATGAGCCAAATAAATAAATCACACTGATTAACTTTTGATCTGATGATCGGATCTTCACGTTCTAGAACTCTATCTTAATGGTTCAAGGGGGTGACTTCAAATATACTAACTAATTGCAGCAGACACTATTTTAACTTACGAAATCAGACACAAAAACGTATTTTCTCTGTATAAACATACCTTTTTGAATTCCTGTCCCCAAAATATAAGGGGCACCCACAATTTGGGAAATATGATCCTAATAATTTGGTCAGGAGTGCGATCCAAAATTTGGTCCCCCTAATGTTAATTTTATCTTTAGCGTATTTCGCAATGTATCGAGAACTTTTTAAGAAAATTTAAACATTTTTGCACAAAATTATAAAATTCGCTTATACAAAGATAATTCCATGCAAAAAATTACCGAAAAAAAAATCGAATTTTAAAAAAGTCGTATATTTAAAACTTGAATTTTCAGGAACTATTCAACAGAATTCGCTCAAAATTTTGTATTTTGCCATAAAAAATTAAAAACTTTAAAAAAGATGTAAAAAAATGTATACTTTGCAATTCAAAACTTTTTCGACTATTATTAAAAAAAATAATAAATATTTACTTAAATTTATTTTTTGCTTGAAATTATCTTTGGACAAATGATTCTTATAATTCTATGCAAAAAAATTTCAATTTGCTTAAAAAGTTCTCGAGATATGGCGAAATACGCACAAATTGAATTGACATTAGAGGGTTCAAACTTATGATTGCTATCCTGACCAAACTAATAGGACCATATTTCTCAGATTACGGCTACTCTTATATTTTCTACTTTTATAATTCTTCGAAAAAAAGGCATGTTTATTAAGAGAAAGTATGTTTTTGTGTCTAATTTCACAACTTAAAATATCGTCTGCACCAATTAATTAGCATATTTGAAGCCATAGCCCCAATCCTTTAAGATTTAAGCATAGAACGTGAAGATACTATTATTATATCAAAAGTTATTCAAGGAAGTCCATTTTTTTCCTTTTCTTTCTTTTTTTTAAAAATCATTTTTAAATATTGCTTTGCGATCCGGAATATGCCAGTTTTCTTAACTTCATTTTCCACCGTTATTTTAAAAATATAGATGCATGCGGAGTAACACAACACAACACAACGGTTACAAATTTGAAGAGAAGATAGGGGACATCATAAAGATGGCTGTTCGTGAGCATTTGAAACGGTACCTATTGTATAAATCTTAATCATCTTAATTGTATGTAAATTTTACGGTTTGTGGTAATTATTAATATACGGTATCTGGAAGTTATTATTAGTTTCAAGTAATTAGTAGTATAACAGGTGCTAAACAGCTGTCTCATTTCTGGGTTTACAACAATCTAACTTCAACTTCGTAGCCTCGTAATTTTGAATGTAACTTACAAAACAAGAAAACTCTCGGATTCAGCATTACAAAAAACTAGTCTTCGTAGAGTACTTTTTAATGGAATTGACCCACATTTGCGTTACATGGAGAAGAAAACCAAAAAGTCCGTAAGTAAATGTATTCTAAAGTTCTAACCCTTGAACTGCTTATCACTGAGTATATTTTAAAGTCAGCATGGTGGTCAGTGCGAACCGGAAATAGAATTTGATTCGACCTCCAATGCTGGGACTGAACCTGAGTTACCTCATTTGGAGGTGAGCTCTCAGTTTATCATGGGGGGTTCTCTTGCAATTATTAGTGAAATTTCCAGTAGCTTAACAATTGGTAAACCTGGCATTTTGCCAAATAATTGTTATGTTATGTTATATACATATATATATACGCTGTGATGTGGCTAACTAGTTGATATAGTCATGTGTTTGCTTTGTTATGCTCCATCAATAACGACGTTAGTCTTAAATGTCAAACCCGATGCATGCTACAATAGATAATCCACTAAAGTTTAATCATACCTTGCCCTCTCTTTCATATAAACAAACACAGAAGAGCCTTGGTTACCTAAAGAAAACAGGGATAAAGAGCAAACCACCAGATCAATCAGTATCAAACCAATAATTAATCTGGTCTCCGGGGTCGGCAATCAATGGGGATTCTAGGGATTTTACAATTTGTTTTAGTGAACACCTCCAAATCTCCAAGTGAGAGTTTCAGACTTTACTTTAACAACAAACTTTAAAAAACAAACAAACTTTAGGCCTTTCTGAAAGAGGTTCTTAAATAAAGGGAAAGTGTTGGACAACTAGCAGCACAACGGAGAGGGGCACACATGTCCTGTACTCCACACGCATCAACTCATCTCACAGAACCACTTAAATTTTTTCTATTCTTTTATATTTTAATGCCAGCATATTGAAGATTATTTTTTCGTGGCGGAATAGCCAAATCTTCATGTATAAGTTGGGTGAAACATTGCACAAAAGCAAATGAAACCTAGCATTGCACAATGTGCAATACCACTCTGGAGACGTCATGACCATTTCTATGGAAGCGGACGCAAGTACCGCGGAAAAGCAAAAAATGAAACTAGGTTTCGCTTTTTCTCCGTTTCCACGTTTCTTAGTAGGGTTTTTTTCTTTCTCTCTCACTGATTAAGGGATCTGGGATCCAAATCAATATTTCTCTCATTAGTTCTACTTCCATAATCGATCGACTTAATTTCAAGATTAGGCTATAGTAGTTATTAGGTTACGGATAATTGAAACAACAATTAAATTTGACATTAATTTAATTTAAATAATTTACTGTTAAAGACGCCCGGTGGCTGAGTGGTAGCGCTTCGCGCTCCCGTGCCACAAGTCCTGGGTTCGATCCTTGAGTCGGGCAAGGTTGACTCAGCCATTCATCCCTTCAGTGGGTCGATAAATGAGTACCAAGCATACCCAGTGTTAGTACCATGAGAACTAAACACTGGGGGTTCCGCTTTCGGCTGACCACCTGACCGGAACATCTGCTCTTGCACCCCGGAGCCCAAGGTCAAGAAAACTGAGATGGGCACACTAGGCCTTGGTCCTCTATGGGCTGTCGCGCCACTAAGTTTAGTTTTAATCTTAATATTGTTATGTCACTAACCTTTAGTGCGTCTGTAGGGTTGAAGGATTGGGCAGTAGGAGACTGCAAGGGACTACGCACAATGCTTCTGGGTGGCGGCCGGTGGTTTGCCTGCCGGATGGGCCTGAGACCTCGAAGCCCTTGAGGGCGGAGGTAGTTATATCGCGTAGGGACCACAAAAAATCACTAACCCACTTCACGGGTCGGCTGATCACCTACGATGACCATATCATTGTTACGATAAAATAACTATTTTGGCCAAATTTCAACTTTCAATGCAATTATCGACAATAATGACTAGAAATCGCAAAACTAACCCACAATTACGATAATAAAGCTACTATTTCAAATGCTCACGAACAGCCAGTTCATAATGGTTAGGCAGCGTTATGATGCCTCTATTCCAACGTTGTATTGTGAATTAAAGTTGAAAGAGACTTACATCTGAAACGAAATAAGCAGCGATATCCATGCGCTCAAGAGGAGACAAGCTGCCCAAACAGAGTTTTATCACATCTAAAAATTTATACAATTGTTTCATGAAATCGGGTAACCTGAAATATTTACACAAACATACATAAATAAAGCCTTTAGTTTAAAATAAAATTTGCAAATTTAAGTTAAAAACTTCTAGCATTTAAAATGAACATCAGTGAGAAAATTAATTTGATTACATACAATTGTCGTTCTAGAAAGAAAAAAATAAAAAAAAAGTAGAAAATAAAAAAATAAATGAGTGGTTTGTTGCGTTCTGCTTCAAAAACTTTAAAAGAAAAAATATTCCTCACTAAATCTAAAAACTAACTACAAAGTTTGTCAACAAATGACGCTGTTGACTACAAAAATTAAAAAACGTTTTATGTTGAAACTCGACAATTTCAGCTGAAATATTTGCATAGGCGTTTCTTACGTTTTTCCTCCGTTTTTGTATGAAATCTTGATTATTTTAAAATCTTTGCTTTATACAGTTTCGCACAGAAGCATAAATTGACGAAGTTTGCATTTAATTTTTAAACTTGGTAAAAGTTTTTATTGCTTTTATTGCTCAAATCATTAGTTACTTTAGAGTAAACGTCAGAAAAATATAAAAATTATTTTTCTGGAAGATTATTTTTTAGTTTAAAACTATTTCTAAATAATAAAAAAGTTGATACAAAATATATAATTGATGAAAGGTACTTTAATAACAATAGAATTGCATGGAAAAATAAAAGCATTATTAAAAAATAATTAGCCAATTAAAATTAAAGCATTATAATTTCATTCCTCAAATATTTTCATTTATGACTTTATTTCTTGACACATTTTTTCCCATCCTGTCTTTTTACTGTAGTTAAGCTATATTATCAGGATCGTAATATACAATGTGTTCCGTAAAGACTAACTGTAATATATATTTTTACAAACCTAACATTTCAAAAGAGGTAATGAAATACACACGAAATTTCAGATAGATTCAAAAATACTAATTCCGTGTCGTAAACTTCACGCGTTGTCCACGTTCATTTTACTTGAGCTTACCTGGCATGATGTATGAAAGATAAATAGTTATTGGAGAACGTGCAAAGTAAATCTCGTTTTTGGTTAAAAATCTTTGATTGCTGTTATATTTTAAATAATTTTATTTTACTTCATAACCGTCGTTTAACAACCGGCCCAATTTTGAGTTTACGATTACCAATGCTCAACTCGGGGCTTTGTAACTTTGAATCCAATCCAGAAGACAAGGAAACTACTGGATTAAGAATTGGGAGAAATTTGCCTTCATGAAGGGCATTTTAATGAAACTAATCCGCATGGAGAGGAAAAGTACGAAAACCTCCCACGGATAGCCTAACGGCAAGTGGACTCTAACCCATGATCCGTCTACCACCGAATATATTTTACATGAGCAGTGTGGTCGGTGCGAGCCGGGGGTGGAATTCGTATCGACCAGCCATCGGTGGAATTCGAACACAAGTCACCTCATTGGGAGGCTAGAACTCTATTTTCTAAGCCACCACGATTCTTTCGAAGAGGGAAAAAAACAGATGCAGTTTAATTTGAAACAATATCAACAGTCGTATGAGAAAAATATGCTTTTTGCACGAACCTTCAAGAACGCACTAAAAGAATTTTTAAAAAATGATTTTAAGGATTTTCGTGAATCAAAAACAATCAGTTCTAGAATTACGAGATGGACACACACGAACTATTAACATAGACAACTAAAAAATTAAATGCACACATACCTAGATTTTAAGTACTCAATAAGTTCGTGACGTTCGGCACTACATAGCTCATTCTTTCTATTTGAGAACACATTACAAAGAACGAGAACTTTTGCACCCACTGAAATATAAATTCAACAATCTTAACAACACGATATTTGACTTTGTTAGTACTTTGGGATTATCCCGTATCATTTTCGCCAAACCCGATATTATCGCCAAAAGGTAGCTTCTGCGCCAATAACCGCAAATTTTATCATATTTACGATTGTGGGGTTTGGCAAAATGGTGAAGTAAGAAACACCGCGGAACTACCCCAAAACACTAAGATTCGTATTTAAACGAATTTATGTGGCGGCGACTAAACAAAGATAATGATTTGTTTGTTTGAGCTTTAAAAGCTATGAACGATTTTTGGCAACCGAAATGATTTATAATAATATATATGGTTAGATTCAAGAATAATTCAATGTGTAATTATAAAAAAAAATCAAGGTTTTTACCTTGTTTTGATTCTTTTAAATACACTTTTTAATTACGTATCTTTAAATTTACATTTTTTTTAAAATTATTTTATTATTATTATTATTATTATTATTTGATAAATTTAATGTGTTCAAAATGTTTATTCTTGAAATTGCTTTTCATTATGATGGCACCAGTGGGGAAATGGTGTTATCGACCAGAATTCTATCAGGGATAGAATTCGATGAACGGATACCCACTAGTTTCCGAATTTGCGAAAGACCGGGAGAGCTGTGTTAAGATCACCGAATTTTAAGCACTTGTGGTGAGAGCTGTATTAAGTTCACGGTAGTGCGTGTGGTCTCTCCTGTGTTGCTATTAGCAGTCGAGTGTGTGCAGCATTCCATTGCGTGTAATTGAGACTGAGAAGCGAGAGGAGGTCACAAATAACAAGTCAACTTTTCAATGAGTGACATCCAAGTAAGAGTGTTCGCAGGAAACCCATGTGGGGAGAGGAATCCATCAAAAGGTACCCCAAAATTGAATCGAGTTAGCATGTCCTATATTATTCTAGTGAATTGATGTTTGATAATCGTAGCGGTATTTAACGCCACACACCAAAGCATTGGAGCATTTTCGTGAGCATTGACAGGTCGACTGGATAATCCCAAAATACCACTTTGTTTTATTCTGTTGGCATCATAAAGACCCAGTTGTTACTCACCCACGGCACTTTCTCTAAGAGCCTGAATGATGACGTAGCGTAACTTGGAGGGGTTGTTGGCGAAATTAACTTCACTTTCAGATTCACTGGAGGAAGATGAACTCGAAATAGCACCAGTTTGACCATTGAAATAGTCAATGATGAGATCACCAATGGCGTGAATTTCTTCGACTAAATTTAAAATTTCTGAAAGATTGAAACAAATGACACTTAGAAAGAAAACTAAAAAAAATACATAGTAAAATAGTACATAAATACAAATGGCATTCCTTCATATAGGTAGTATTCAGTGCAATGGTTCACAAATTTACTACACCCTATGGAACTCTTATGATACCAAACACTTGACCATGGACCACCCTCAAGTGTAATAAATACATTGCAATGCGTAATAGAAACTAATATTACGAACTTAACTTATTCGTCCTGAATGGTAAAATGATGCAAAAATAAAATGCAAAGAAAACATTGGGATGAAGTATTTATTCATACCACCTACACATAACTGGAATCATAGGACACCCCTGGTACCCTGCTGGATATAAAATGAAACCGAAAAACCCAGACTGCTTTGACCGGATTTGCAAGTGGCCATCTTACTTTTGAGGGAGACAGAAAGATTTTCTCAACTTGCAAAAAATGCTGTGTTTTACCAGCTTCGCCGGAACATATTCTGATTTGCCTTGAACATTCTAAGGCGGATCTTTCATCAAATCCTCTTTTTGTTGCGGATTTCCTTGCTGTCAGCTGCGTCCCCTGGAGCTTATCTGACATTTGCCAGATTAAGAGGATAAGCAACAATAACAACAGTATTTATTCACATTGTAAGTTTTGCTTTCAAAATTTTTTCTTACCTAGACGGATGAACGTGATTGGGATGATATGAGATCTTTGGATCTAAGTTTGTAACAGCCTCAAGTTTTCACGATCACTCATTTCCCGACGATCGCGATGAGGCTCACAGCTGCACTAAATCCACGTTCTAGAATCGCCAAAAACTTTAAAGTTCTTGTGAAATTCTCCAATATTTTTAAACTTCTGAGACTTACTTTTCTTCCCTCAAAACACCTCCAAATAATATAAATAAATTGCCATAATTTTGATTAAAAGCAGGTGATGGGGAAAGATCCCGAGAAAGTATAGAATATTTTATTTACGACTGTAGCGCTCCGATTAGCTCGCGTGATTCATTGCTTTTGCAGAAATCTCCACTCTTTGACAAGCAAAAATCTCAATAATAATCGTAATTAAATCATAAGCCATGACTGTAAAGTGTAAACTAATTCTTCTCATCACCTCCAAATCAAATTTATGGCCATAAAATAATCAAAAATTAATAAATATATGGAGGGTCTTCCAGAAAAAAGTCGATGGTGAAAAAAAAAAACCTTGGGAGGAGTCATAATTCGGATTCAAGAGCACATTTCATACTAAAATCGGCAGACACGACTTCAGGATTCGAAAAAGTATTTTCTGTTTATTGTTGTCGTAGGTCCTTAAAGCAAGAGAGTGCGATTGTTCCTGTTTTCCAGTGACTCCATCTATGGCTAAGAATTCGACTTCTGCCACACCTATATCTCACACGAGAAGTGCGAACCCATTCATACATCCATTTATTCATCCACAGAGCGTAATTTTGACCTGAACCAGAGAACGATCAGTCTCCAATTCAGGATCCCCACAGCTATAATTTGTTATAGGAACATGGAGGACCTTCTGACCAGACAAATTTAACGTGCACCAGTCACCATTTAGTACACGGGGAGTCTTTGGTCGACTGGATTCGAACCCCCGTTCTCTCGAACGAGAGTCCAGCGTTCTGCCAACTAGGCTATCCCTGCCCCTTCTGTTTATATATTATTACAATTAATGTGTCAGAGCAGCATTAATACATCGGTAATCACAAAATAAGGGAATTAAAACACTTAAAGAACCCCGATTAGGTAAGAACATTAGAAAGATCATTAGAGCCCATCTTAATTAAGAAGGATCAACGGAACCGCGATGAATTGAGAATGGATCATGAAAATCTTGATTAATTAAGAACGACACAAAGTACTTACGATCTAATAGAGCATTGTTCTTAAGGTAAAGTTGACATAACTTTTTAAAGTCCTCAAAACCGGGAATATCTGCAGTTGCCAGAAGGCAGTTCCTGGCAGTTTCGTCTTTAAGGGGTGAGGGAAGGCATTCCGCGTACAAGTAGTGAAGCACTGTGAAGAGAACCTCTTCAGGGAGATCGGAGAGAGGGCTAGGAACGGAATTCCAATCAATCTCAGGATTGGCCAAACCGAGAATAGTCTTGTGAACTTTGAACTGAAAAGAAGAAGGAAAAAAACATGAGGAAAGATAGGCAGGATGTTGAAAATGGAAGAAAGAAATATCCTAAGAGTTCATGTCATATAAACAGTATTAAATTTGTATTTTGTTAGCCTGTCCATGCAGTAGATTTAAAGTAATAAATGATCATTTCTGTATTCTTTTATTTTTAAAACAAAATTAGTACTTTAAAAGGTAGTTTTCACTATATAAATATTCTTATAGAAGGATTTTTTAAGTGAAATAAACATGCAATTACATTACTGCAAGAGAAAAACTATGAAAGCCTGTTATGGTAAACCCTATAGATTCGGATTCATAATTCATGCAAAGATTTCATTTGAAGACTTTCTTTATTCCACTAATTAAAAATATGACGGTATCTAGTCTTTATGCTTACACAAGTCCTCCCAACCTTCTTTTAAAATTAGAAAACTTCAAGCATATTTCCACTACCAAACAGAGGACACTCCAAATCAGACGAGATAGGAGAGGTACTTTATTTACGTCGCACTAGAACTGCACAATGGGCTATTGACGAGGGAAACATCTCAGAGGTTGATCCAAAGACGTGCTTTCGATTCTCTGCAGGGAGGATGGCTACTTTGCTTTGGTAGCCCGATGACCTGCGCGCAAAGTAGAGCACTTTACGGTAGAACAGCTTAACAAGGACCGATTCCAGCGCACTCTCGTTCCTCATGCATGCTAATCAAAGTGGTCACCCACCCGCTTACTGACCTCAGCCAGTGATGTTTGACTTTGATGATCTACTGGGAACCGTGTCTTTGTGATCAGTCCACTGCGGGATGACAAGGTAGGGTAAATAATAAACTTTATAAGACACTGTAGGTTTGAACGAACAAAAATGCGAAATTAACGTCGGTCTGAGGCCACTAAAATTTAACTCAGACCCACCATTAAATAATTATCAATGGTCCCACCGACCAGCACCCAATATTATGGAACAATATGATGTTTTGATTTCGGTTTCATGTTTTAGTCAGTGTTTTGATATATAAAATAGTATATTTTAACATAATTTGAATATTACACATCCCTAAATTGTAATTTTTTAAATTTTAACTCACTTTAATAATTTTTGTTTAAAAAATATTGCAGATGCATCTAAGCTGACGAGTAAAAACATATACGAGCAGGTAATATTCTTAGTTTATAGTTCTTCGGGCTAGTAATGACCCATTATTCAGTTAAGAAATTCATATAATATTAGGCAGTCGGAACAGGCTCACTAACTGTATGCCTACCCGACTTAGCCAGAATTCGAACCCTGATTTCCCTTATCAGAAGCGAACGTGATTCTTTTCTTGTATATTCTGGTCCAACATTATGAAGTAAAAATAAAATAAGGTAACATTTATCGTGCAATTATAAATATAGATGTCTGATGAATTCTTGTTATAGTGATAGCTAAAACAAGAAATTATTCACTACACTTAATCGCACATTTAAGATCTCATTTTCATTTTTTAAAGTGCTTTCCGTTCTTCTTGTTGTCGTAGGCCATTAAAGCAAGGGGTGCGATTATTCTTGTTTTCTAGTGGTGTCCTCTATGGCCAAGAATATGGCTTCTGCTACACAAATACATCAAACTCGTTTATAGGGCGGAAACATTCATACTTCCATTCATTCATCCACAGATCCTAATTTTGACCTGAGTTAGAGAACTATCCATCTCCAATTCAGTACCCCTACTCGTATAATTTGTTATGGTAATAAGGAAGACTTTGTGACCAGACGGATTTAACCTGCACCAATCACCGTTTACTACACGGAAAGTCACCGACCGGCTGGATTTGAACTCCCGTTCTCAGGAACAAGAGTCCAGCGCCCTGCTAACCAGGCTATTCCGCCTCCAGTTTTTTCGAAGTTTATTTTAATGTCATAGAATAAATCTTTTCATTTAAAAAGAACTGAATTGAGAAGAAAAAGCATTAGTAAAGACACATACCTCAGTCCCGTTGTCCGCATGTATGGAAAGATCAGATAAGAATCCTTCAGTTAAGGCACACAAAAATGAATAGGGTATCGACTGGCCCTCTTTTGAGTTCGTAGTTAACACCTGCGAAAACCGAAACATATTTTTCAAAAATTCGCAAAGCTAGCGAGTCTCCCAAAATTGACTGACGATTTGAAAATAAAATTTGAAAAAAAAAAACGAAAAAAAAAAACGGAGAGCAAGTAAAAGAAAACTAGATTTATTCTCACAAAGTGTCACCATCATAATGAACATTAAGCTTACAAAAGTTACTTACGATGTTCGTCAACAAATAGCCACACAGACTAGAAAAAATTATGAAACAACGTTTTCTGCAACATGTTAAACCATTTTTACCAAAATTTTATGTACACTGGTGTGCAAAACTTAAGCAACAAGTGGTTTTTCGGCCACAGCTCTCCAACAAAGTATAAGATAGCCATGAAATTGCAGTATAATATTCACTTAATTCAGTAGAAAGATTATTTGTATGCAAATTTTAGAAATAAAGCGTCGTAGGTGATGTAAGTGTACATAAACTTTGTGGGTCGGCGCGCGTAGGTCAAAGCTGTGATAAAAGGATGAAGAGCACCATAGTTAAAGACATTCGCTGCAAGTGCAAGTGGTCTGTTTTGTGAAACATGTCTTCAAGAAATCATTTAGACGACTTTACTCGAGAAAGAATGATTGGGAAGCTTGAGGAGGGGCGTAGTGTGACCAGTGTCGCCGAAGAGTTCGGGATCAACAAAAGTGTTGTTTCTCGTGCTTGGAATGCCTTTAAAACTACTGGTACAGCTGTTCGGAAGGTTGGTGGTGGCCGTCCAAGGAAAACAACACCAAGAGATGACCGTTACATTGTCCTCCAGGCGAAAAGAAACCGTTTTCAGTCAGCGAGCGCCATATCTCAGCAACTGTGCACAGCCACAGGACGACAAGTATCAAGATTTACAGTGGCCAGACGCCTCCACAAAGGTGGCTTATTTGCTAGACGTCCTGAACGCTGCATACCTTTAAAAGTTAGCCATCGGCGGCACCGTTTAGAGTGGTGCAGAGAACACGAAACCTGGACACCTCATCAATGGAGTCGCGTCCTCTTCACAGATGAGAGTCGTTTTAGTGCTACAAGCGATTCTCAACGTCAGTTGATCTGGAGAGAGGTTGGAGCTCGATTTCATCCCAATAACATCGCGGAAAGAGATCGTTACGGTGGTCCTGGAATTGTCGTCTGGAGTGGCATTATGTTGAACGGGCGGACTGAGCTTCAGATCTTCGACCGAGGTTCTGTAACTGGAGACTGCTACTGCAATGAGGTAATCCTACCACATGTGCGTCTGTTCCGAGGGGCCATTGAATCAGACTTCATTTTTATGGATGACAATGCCCGGCCACACCGTACTGCTAATGTTCAAGAGCTACTGGAAAGTGAAGATATCACACGAATGGATTGGCCAGCTTACTCTCCAGATCTAAATCCCATACAGCATGTGTGGGATGCATTAGGGAGACGTCCTGCGACACGACAGTAACCTCCTGGTAACACCCATCAGCTGAAAGATGCGTTAAAGGAGGAATGGAGACGTTTACCCCAAGAACTCCTGGATAATCTGGTGCTTAACATGGAGAGACGATGCCAAGCAACAATTACAGTAAGGGGAGGGCATATCCCATACTAGGGAACATCTGCCAGTTGTACTTACGCTTCTTCAGGCAATCATGTATAACGCCACTATATGTCAAGAAAAGCCTTTTTTTGTTCCATACCCTACTTTAAGCTTTATATTCCTTTCTGCGCCATTATTCTTTTACCATCGTTTAAGTACAAAATAATGTACACCATATTCAAATTTCATGTCAATCAGATGATTTCTTGTAGAGTTATGACAAAAAAAGCACTTGTTACTTAAGTTTTGCACACCAGTGTAAGTCTTGTCCAGTGACTGAACCGTGTTTTTTATTCAAATGATGGTTAGTTTCAAAACCTTGCTTTATAGTTTTCTCTAATCAACAGTGCCATCTGTTGGCAAATTTAGTAACAAATTTTCTCACTTTGTAAAAATTAATAGCTAGTTTCCTAAGCAGAAAGCAGCAAACCGGACATGCCTGTCGTATATCTTCAGTTGAATATTCAAATCGTCAGTCATTTTGCGGGATATCCAGAAGATATGCAATTAACTACACATACCCTTTCGCATTGTAAAACACACCAGCCTTCATATGTCAGTTGAATGTAGTCATCTCTTAGCCGGTCAACCTGCATGAACATCGAAAAAAGAAATTTTACTTTGGGAAGGTAAATCATAGTTTCTCCAAAAATTGCGATTAAACGAGCATTTATAAATTTATATATTTTATCTTCAAAACAACATAACACTTAGATTTATGACGTTACTCCAGGCGTGCAATTTCTATTTCTCTATTTGGATAAATATGCGGTATCTTTCTACTTGGTTCTGATGGTTTTCCATGCAGGAATTCGTACTGATTTATGATGGTCCAACAAAAGAATAGCGACTTGCTTCGATGGTTAGTTGAACCATCCGAAATTTCCATCATAGTTTCTTAGAAATCAAATGATGGAACGATCATGAACAACCCTCATCCCACTGATTTATGATGGGCCAACATAAAACGAATTGTTTTGATAGTATATTTCTGAGAACCAACAAGAATTCCCATTCAACCATCATGGAAATGCATTGTTGGAACCATCACGGATCATCATGGATTACTGATCCATGAGAATCAAAATTCTCTCGCTGGTTTACCATCATAGTAACATTTTCTATCGTGGAATGATTGAAGTTTGCTGGCATATCAAAAACCATGAAAGCATAATGGAAAATGTTGAAGGATGGTGACCATCAAATGATTTTGGACCATCATGAATCATCGTTACAATGATTTGATGGGACCATCAAGAATTTTGACGTGGGTAGATAGGCGGTTTCTATCGATATGGATATAAAAGTCGTTTTTATTTTTTCATTGCGGTTTCTACAAGAACAGATAGACGGTTTTTATTTTATCTAATTTTTTTTTTTGCCGAGTATTGCTAGAAGAAATGCCCCAGAGCAAGTAAATTAAGTTAAATTGAATTTAATGAAGTTCTTTTTCAGTAAAACAAAATTTGATTACATTAGTGTTCAAATACAAATTTTATTCACTGAGGAACTAAAGCACAAGAAACATCTTTCAAATTAACTATAATTTGCTAATTTGTATTCAAAATAATTATTTAATAATACAAATTAGGATTTCAAAATTTATTTAACTTAAATTAAAACAAACGATGGATCAGTTCAGTGATACGGAGCATTTGGAGCCCCACTCCAAATTTCTTTAACTTTTGAGTTTATCGTTTAACGGTTGATTTTTTAATGGATGCGTGATGTCGTGTTCAGTTCACGTGACTTCATTATTCTTTATTTAATAATAATTCTTCAATAAATATTTTAAATATTTCTAACAGAAAATAAAACTACAATAAAAAAAGCTAAAATATTAATGAATATTAAAAGAATATTCGAAATTTTTACAAACTTAGGAAACATTCCTAATAAATGTGATTTGATTATTCTACTTAAAATACTTAAAATGCACCATTCAAATTCTCAATTTCTAAATGCATATTCGGTATGAATTTTTAATTTATTGAAAAAGAGACAAAAAGTAGTGTCGATGCAGCGTTGGAAAATATTTTGTATTAAAATAAAAAGTTCATTTTTAAAGTATTTGAGTTCTACATAGAATCGTTTATTTATAACGAAGGAGAGGGAAGGAATATATCTCCACTCTTTTCTTCAGATGAAAGCCAATTAAACTTCTCAGTCTGTTTTCGCACGACTTCGTCAGCACAGCTTGGAGCAGACTTCAAAAGTTGCTCTTTATTTCGTTTTATAACCGTCATTGAACAGCCTAACCAATTTTTTGAGGTTCTAATGTTCTACTCCATAGCCTAGTCGTTTTGAACCCCTTCCGGAAGACAAGAGAACTTCTGACTCAAGGACTAGGAGAAATTTGCCTTCTCGGAAGACTTTTTGATGGAACTAACCAGCATTTGCGTTGCATGGAGAGAAAAACCACGAGAACCTTCCACGGTTAGCATGACGGTAAAGAGACTCTAACCCGTGATCTGTCTACCACTGAGGATATTTCACGTTAGCATTGTGTTCGGAGGATGCGGAATATTTATCGACCAGTCACTGGGACTCGAACCCGGTTCACCTTATTGGAAGGGGAAACACTCTATCTCCCCTGAACTCTTCAGACTTACTCTTTTAAAATAATTTTCAGGTTTTTTTAAAAAGTTATTTCTGTCATCACTAGCCAACACTGTTTCAGTAAAATTTCGCTGCGCGCATCTCATAATGTAAAAACCTATTGGTTAAAACAATAAGAAATTTCGCACATTTTTTTTTTTAATACAAGGGAACGCTTTGACACGCCTTCCCTAAACCTTCCCTTTCGTTAAAATTCACTAATTAGTTTTTTACTTTTTTCTTTCTTCAGTTAAGCGAAACGTATAAAAGGAGAATTGCGATTTTTTTTTTTTTTTTGCAGCTGCACCCTCTAATGCCTGTCGATGAACAAGACGTATTGCTTTGTTTAAATTTTGAATTAGTGTTGGAGTCATTAAATAAGGTTTTTTCAAGGGTTGGCCAAATAAGTTTGTATAAAAAATATCATGTTTGCATCAAAATAAGTTCTTATATAATTTTTCATTCAAATCCTCATTGCTTAGAACACAAAAGCAATAAGCGTAGAACTTCGTAACCACCTCTACTTACCTAAAATATAATTATTGAAATTATAATCTTTTGGGAAAAAAATGAACAAAGTATAGTTGGATCTGTATAGTTAAAAAAATCTTTTCAAACCTGATAGCATACTGAAGAAGGCACCAAAAAGTGTTTTTTTGGCACGTACTAATATGATATTAACTTTTTAAACAATGCAAAAAGTTGCATGAATGAACATTTTTCGGAATAATTATAATAAATAAGGCATGTAATGAGTGTCGAAATTTGTAACATTAGGGACATCTGAAAATTAATTATTCATGAAGGTCATTTCAAATTTAAAATGAAAAGAGTACAAGGTTAGCGAGGTACCAGATATTTATGACTCAATCTAAAGTGTAAAAAAAAAAAAAATTCCAATTTGTCGAAGATGATAGAATTTCAAACACTAAGAATCCGTTTAAGCAAACAGCAAATATATACAAACCTGAAATTCCATGACATGACCCACAAAAGTTCCAAAAAACCTTAAGTAATAAGGATCACTGGAATAAATCTAGAGGATAAGAAAAAATAGTACATATAAATATAGAATGTGTTTTATAGTCGATGGTTATTATATAAATAGTTAAAATTCTCTTTGAAAATGAAGTAAAAATATGCCCACAAGAGGAGAAAAGAAAAACGGAAATGTTTTTTTCAAATCATCAGACAAATAAGTATTGAGAAAGGTGGGATTAAATACAGAAGTTTCAGAAATTCTAAGAGGGGTAGAGAACAATCCTCTTAGAAATCATGTGACAATGCAGGATCGGAAATGGATGGTGTTTTCAGTATAAATTTAAACAACCTCGAGCTCTTGGCCTGCTCTACTTCCGGTTAGAAAGTATACAGCTTATTATGCGAGTTGATATTTTCAAACAGATAATTTTGTTTTTAATTAAAGAAAGAATTTATATGATTTCTGAGCTCAAATATACTATATTTTATAAGGTATTAATGATATAAAGTAATTCCGGCGAGTTTAAAGTGAACATTTGTTTTAGTTATTTATACATGTATTGTTAAAAAAGGTGACATGGTAGGTAGATTTAGAAAGAACTCTATTTTTTGGCAGTTCCGATATGACCTCTTTTTACTTGTTTATTTCTGTTTGTTCCTGGTGCAAGGCGTGCATTCTCATACATTAGTGTTAGCATATTTTAATTTCGAATTTGGTGCATTGTTAACAAGTTAATAAGTGTTTCATAACGATTTTTTTTTTCAAATGACAATTTTTACGTCTTGAAATGACTGGTCTTCAAATGACGATTTTTACAACGATTCTTCTTTTAAACACAAATAATAATCTGGTAACAAATACACGTATGAAAGAAATATTACCCAAGAGAGTCTTAAAACACAATAATCACGTTGTGAGCCAAATGGGGTGAAAAAACACTCAAAACTGTAACTCGGCAGTCAAGAGCTCGCAGCGCTCCTTATTGTAGAAAACATATTATTCTGAAGCGGAGAAATACAGTAACGAAATAAAAAAATTTTAATAAGTAAATAAAACGGCGCACCTTTTAGAACTTTCGATCTAATGATAGGATTTACACATACTAGGAATGAAATTTAATGGTTCACGGGGATGACCTCAAATATGCTAATTAATTAGTGCAGAAGATATTTGAAGTTACGAAGTCAGACACAAAAGCGTACTTTCTCTGAATAAACATACCTTTTCTTTTCGGTGGATTCAGATTTCTGACCCTCAGAATTTGGTGGGGGGGGGGGGAGCAATCTGGAAATGATGGTCCCAATTAGATCCCGGTTAAAAATTTGGACCCTTAATACATTTTGCGTACTTCATCATATCTCGAGAAATTTTTTTAAGCGAATTGAAAAGTTTTTGCACGCAATATTAAAGTTCGTTTATTCAGAAATAATTCTATGCAAAAAGTATTTTTCAATAACTATTTATTATTTTTTATGATTTTATATAATAAATAGATGAAAACTTTTTTTATTTATATGGTCTACAAAGTTTTAAATCATTTTAAAGAATGTGACTTTAAACATACTTTTTCGGACCGCTGTCTCCAAGGAAAATAAAAAAGACCACATTTTAAGTGCCTTACTTAAAGCAAAGCTATAATTTTAAACTGTAAATGCCATATCGCTGTAATGAATTATCTGAGCTTTAGAACAGACAAATACCTAAAATATTAAAAAATTTTAAGAACCGCCGATTTATCGACATTTTTCTAACCGGACGAAAATTATCAAAATCAATGCCTTAATCCCATTTTTTGCAAATTTTTATGAGCCCAGATAATGCAGCATTGCGTACTAAAGCCTTCGAAAAACAGCCTTAAATGGTAAAATACTAAATTTTAACGAATGATTCCTAGGAAAACGAATTTTCAAAAAGTCGGATATTTAAAATTTGATCTTAAAATAAATCGAATTAAAATAATGAAATTCCGAACAATCCCTTGAACAAACCAGACTCATATCGAATTTCTCTGGTAGCTACTGCGATTCTTGCAACACCATTTACTGCTTAAGGAAATCATTTCAAGCATTACTACGTGATTTCGAATCGTCAGGATGCATTTAACCCCTCTTAGAAGCTCTAGAACGTTTAACTGAGATACTCTGTATATTAAAACCAGTTTGATTTATGTTTACAATTTATACGTGTTTCTAAAAAATGTATTTTTCTTCCTCTTAATTTTCTTTGGCAATTAAACACTATTCGGTGTTTCTAATCAAGCCTTCATTAATGATTCTTTAAATTGCAATAAAAAAATTATTTACTCGCTTAGTCTACTTTGATATACAAGCATTTTATTTACCTATTTATTTTGTTTGCTACATTTTTACAAGGATTTAAAATTAGTATTTGAATGGTAATGATTACAAAACACGAAAAGTGAGGGGGAAAAAAACTTCCAAGCTATTTTTTAAAAACAAAAACTAACCTCATATGTTTCACAGTTGAAGAAAGGCATTTGAACAGTATTTTCTGGAATGTTCCAACTAACGTCACCACTCTCATCCAGTGTGAATTCAGCACTGAAAAAATGTAACACCACAAACAATTAATAAATTCAATAATTTAGATAATTAACCGCAACACAGTGACGTACAAACAGAAGATTTAATTTTTAAGAAATATATACATAGATTTCTCGGATCACATTAAAGTAAAACACTGAAAATATAGTGAAGAATAAAATGATATCACAACTTTTCGGAGTTATAATTTTTTACCCTAGCTATTCTATTACCTTTTTCTAATATCTATGAAAGAAACAAATTATTTTCAAAAAAATTTGAGTCAATTATTTAATGATTCGAAAATTCAAAACAAATTTTTTTTTTAAATTCCTATGCACAACAAAGACTAAGTAAGTAATCAATAAACATTAACTTAAATTCTTATTATACAACTTAAGTGAAAGACTCTGAATGACTTTGAATTACCAATGAGATTTTTATTGATTAAGAACAATTTTTACAGTTTAAAGGAGTTATAATTAATTAGCTTGTATAAAAGTTTAAGTTACGGAATCAGACAAAAACATATATTTTCACTGATAAACATCTTTTTTTCGACCGATTCGGATTTCTGACCACCAAGGTATGAGTGGGGCTTTCATGCTGAAAGATATGGAACCACTTAATGTTATTTTTAATTTTTTCTAATTACAAAAACTAAATGCTAGTATCAAAACACAGAATTTAAAAAAAAAACATATTTGCATAATAATAGCATCGTGCATATTGAAGAACACTTCCTGCTATAACCTGCTATATGTGCATGTTTTTAGCTTCTTTTTTCAGTAACAGTTGGAACAGGAGTTATGTCCACTGTAGTTACCTGATCAAAAATTCACCCAGAATAGTAAGGAAAGTGGTTTTAGACCATCAACCCTTCTTAACTTCTCACGAAATGGGCTGAGGGCCTCAACCCCTTTAAATCTTCAAGATCTGTGTAAGCCCTCACCCCATCTAAATCTTCATGACCCGTCTACATTCTCAACCCATCTAAATCTTCATGGCCCGCCAAAGCCCTCAATTCATTGAAATTTTTATAACGTGTCTAAAATCCTCAACGCATCTAAATCTTCATAACCCGTATTGAAACCATCAATTCATCTAAATCATCCTGAGCCATCTAAACCCGCAACGCATCTAAATTTCCATAGTCTGTCTAAACCCTTAACCCATCTAAATCTTCACGACCAGTCTATATTTTCAACCCATCTAAATCTTCATGGCCCGCTAAAGCTCTCAATTCATAGAAATTTTTATAACGTGTCTAAAATCCTCAACGCATCTAAATCTTCATGACCCGTGTTGAAACCATCAATTCATTTAAATCATCCTGAGCCATCTAAACCCGCAACGCATCTAAATTTGAATAGTCTGTCTAAACCCTTAACCCATCTAAATCTTCATGACCCATCTAAACCCTTAACTCATCTAAATCTTCATGGCAGCGAATCGGTGTTTACTTCTTTGCATCGTCATATATTTGTAAAATCGGTAATTTAATTTAATAGTAAGCATTGAAAAACCTACACATATGGCTACCAACAGTTTTGAATTTTACCCAAAAGAAAAAGACTGAGATCACTTTGAATTGAGCGTCGGCACAAATTTGCCTTTAATGGTGACATTTACAAAACTTCCCGTAGCTCATCCGATGTCGAGAACATTCTAAATCATTACGTCAGCAGTGTGTTCAGAGGGTACGGTAACTATGAATTGATCAGTTATCTCCGGGATTCGAACCTGAGCCACTAAATTCGAGAGTAAGCGCTCTATCCTCTACATCATCCTTGCTTTCAAGTCATCAAAGGACAACTAAACAACAAACAGATATTATTTCAAATTCGTTCCGATCTCTTTAAAATAATAATTCGTACTCCAACGAGCTTTAACAATTAAGATATAGTTTTGGATTTGCGTTTAAAAAAGTGTTCCGGCTTTTAGGTAAGCTTGTATAACCATAAATTAGTTATGTGTGTTTACATGTCTCAATAATATATAATAACTAAGATAGTGATCTTCACAAATATGCCTGTAATTAAAATAAAAGAAAAGAAGAAGAATCTAACAAACCCTTCAATTCCAGTCGGTTCATAGGCAAAAGGAACAGCTGAACACTTAACAATCTAATAAATAAAAAAATTCATTGAATCAGTAATTTAGCAAGAATAATTAGACATAGAGAGCATAAAATACTTTAAATTACAAGAATGATAATTATGAATACAAATCAAAATTTAAAATTCTATAATAGAGAAATTTCAGTTTCCTTGGCCCATAACAAGAATGATAAATGCATATAATATTTTGAAAAGAAAATAAGTTAAATTCACTCTTCAATTCTTCTTCTTCTAAAAAATTGTGCTTGTTTTATTGTGTGATGTCTTTTTTATACAATATAGCATTTTATACAATCAATATTGTAATAGGGCATTGGAAAAGTTTTAAATGCCCTATAACAATATAAGAAAAGAGACTAACATATGTAATAATTTTTGAGGAAAATTGAAGAATGTTTTGTGTCAAAGATATTTTTTCTTTAATTCGCTTTGAAAACACCCTCTTTTTCAATAATACCGGGCTCATCCTCTTCAACCTAAGAAATCATGAGTTTGGTGAAGCACTGGGAGGAGAAAACACAGAGATTACAAACAAGTTGCAGCAAGGAAAAAAAAAGGATTGACCAATAGGTATAAAGAATATCTTGAAATATAATATATAGATAAAGATAAATATATCTAAGGAATATCTTGATAATCTTGCAAGATCACCCTTGTTGCATCTCTGTGTTTCTCCTCTTTTCTGTACTCGGACACTGAAGAAGATGCCTCACTGTAGTACCGAAACGTTTGTAGGCCTGTTCACGAGGCATTATTTGTAATCATTTTAAGCTGCTTTAACCACTGACTAGACTGTACTAGACTGTCAAGAAACTACAAACTTCCTTGTGCTGGTTTACTTCAGGACTTAATACTACAATTGCAAAAGAAATCACAATTTAAAAAATAATTATTTGGCAAACCAAAAAAACTGCTTTTTGAAGAAAAAAACATTTGTTCAGAATCGTTATACGCTGGACTGAGACAATTTACCTACTTCCGTTTGTTAGTCAGTCAAATTGAACCAGCTTTCAGCATTTTGGATAAATGCTTCCCCCCCTCAGATTCATTTTAGGCGCTGTTAATCTGTTAAACAATGCTCTAAATCAAAGTTATTTAATAGATATTTATTTTAATTTCTAAAGCATAACTATAATTATTTAAGACCAGAACTCAAACATAGAAAAATCTCATATCACAAAATGTCAATTATTTTCCTTAAATTCCATATATATGATTAAGTTACATATATATCTAATTACATTATTATTAAAGGGCCATGTTAAATTACACGGCCCTTTAAATATATAAAAAATTTTACTTTTACTCTTTTGAAGTGACATCTTAGTTTTTTTTTACTCCAAAATTTGCTAAATCAAGTCGTGGTGGGTCTTCCAATGCGATGATCTCGAATCCCAGTGACGGCTGGTCGATTCGATTTCGTTGATGTAAACTATCCTCAGTGGTAGAAGGATTATGTGTTAAAGTCCCCTAGACGTCAAGATAACCGTTGGAGGTTTTCATGATTTTCCTCACTATGTAACGCAAACGCGGGTTAGTTCCATCAAAGAGTCCTCTACAAAAGAAAATTTCTCCTAATACTTGATCCAGGAGATTCCTTGTCGTCTGCATTGGGTTCGAAATCACAGGGATACGGAATTTAACCTTAGTAGTCGGACACCCAAAAAATTGGATTGGCTGTTTAGACGGTTATAAAATAAAATAAAATTTGCTAAATGATTTATAAGAGTTTTTTAAATCATTTTACTGATCATTTGAGAATGGAAGGTAGTAACAAAAACTACGCAGTTTAGATCAGAGATTTAAAAAAATTATTTTTAGGAGAAAATAACGAGAAAGAAAACATGAAGGATAGTATAAGTGGTTTTGGAGTAGAGGGGAGTTTCAAATTTATTCAAATTAATAAAACCAGTACACACCATTTTGTAAAATTAAATTTTTTTTGAAGTTAATATCATCAACAATTCAAGAATGTTATTTTTGGAATTTCAAGAAATCAAAATGAAGAGGAAAAAACTAAAGTGGCAGTTTAAAGTGATAATTTTTCCATTATCATTATCCATTATCAAGTGACAATTTATATAATAAAAGCTAATTAATTACCACCTTTACAGTCCTTAAATTAGATACAAAAAATAGTATATGTTATTAATTTATTTAATTAAAACTGATGCATTTATTAGTTTAATCAAACTGTGGTAATCAAAAGCTATACAAAATTGGAGGCTTAACTTTATGTTAACTTAAGGCTCTAATTGGTGGCTCTCTCAACACTTTTCTCTTAAATTTGAGGCTCTCTCTCTCTTAATAAGTCACATAGTTGTCTGATAAAAAGTCACAGTTCCCAGTACATCATTAAAGTCAAGAATCACTGCCACAGGTGGGTGACTCCTCTGGTCGGTCTGCGAAAGGTCAGAAGGTATGTGGTATCAGTCTTCGTTAAACTGCTCTACTGTAAAATGCTCAAATTTGCACGCAGGTCATCGGGCTCTACAGCGGAAGAGCCTGCTGTGCAGAGGGTTAAAATTTTGATGATATATCTTCGGATCATCCTCAGGGATGTCACCGTGACTATCACCAATAGCTCATTGTGCAGTTCTAGTGAGTCATAAATAAAGTACTACTACATCTATCAAAAGTAAGATGAAGTGCAGACAAGATTGTATTTTTGGTGCGATCTTTCGATTTAGAACATTTTAACTTGATTCATAATACTCCATACAATAGTTCTTCTTATCTTTTTTTGGTTTTTTAATTCTCTACAAATATAAAGAAAAGAAATTGTTTCGCAACAATAGTTCAAAAGAATAATTATTATTTTTTTTAAATGTAGAATACACTACAAGTGACCGAAATCTATAAAACTATAAAAGGAAAAAATGTATTTTTGTTTTCAATAAAATAATAATTAGTATCTCTGTCATGTGTTCTAATTTTTGACTAAGTTTCATAGAACAAATTAATAAAAACGGAATAAGTCCTTTTTTCCACCATGGTACACCAAAAACAAATCATAGGGAAAAAAAGTTGATGTGTATAAATTCTATATTATACAACTGCCGGCCAGGTGTCCGAGTGGTCTGATTGCGGAGCCAATGACAGCGGGTCCGAATCCCGCTCTGGGCATGGTTGTTTCTTTCTCTGTGTTGTCTTCTGTTGTGTGAATGTGGCCCACCCTATGAACGGGTTTGTGGCAGTATGGCGTGGGTAACGTTGCTCGCCTCCGTGACTTTGATTCACAGGTGCCCACTGGGTAACGCTAAATGAGTAACAATTCCGGCATCTTCTATGGCGAAGAACGAAAAGCTCAGTGCCTACCGTTATTAAAAAAAAAAATTATTATACAACTGCAAGCATTTTTAATGCTAAGGAAAATTATTAATGTTAATAATCCGATTCAAGCAAAACTTATTCAATCTCAACCCATTCATACATTTAATAAATACATGAACAATATGTTATAATTAATAATACATATATTGTTTGATGTGAAAGAGCTATTTTATTGCATATAAGATGCTTTCTTAAGTAAAAATGAACTAAGTCTGTTGATGGAGAAAAAAAAAACTATTATTAACACTGAAAAAGTATTTATTTATTTATTAAAATGAATAAATTTTACTAACTAAACATACTTTTTTAGTAATATTTTTAATTTTTTAAAAGAAAATTTAAATGATTTAGGTGTATATATGTGTTTAATATATCATATCAAGAAAAGTTAAGATACCTAAAAGAATCCCCACACATCATATCACTGAAGAAAATTTTCCGAAATATCATAAAAGCTGTCATCAGATCTAAAAAATATTATGTAATCTGACATTTGCCCAATTTATCTAACAACTAAACAAGGATTACAGTTAAATCCATGTGCAGTAAAGTCTGTCTTTTTTTTTTTTAAGAATATCAATCAGTCTGGAAGAATAAAAAAATTAGCTTTTTAACTTTTTTAATTATCTTAATTTATCTTTTGAACTGCTGTTTAAAAACATAAATTAGCAAATGCATAAACATATTATAAAAAAAAAATCATTCAGCTAAAAACTAAAATATTTTTATTAAAAGCAAATTTACATTTGCAATTTATTTACATACCAAATACATGAAATAAAAAAATAAAATTTCATTTAAAAAAAAAAAAAACGGCCACAAACATTTCTTAAGATTGAAAAAGTAGATATTTTCTTAGAGCTAAAATAATAAACAAACATTAGAAACAACTAAAAAATATGAATGCATCCAAAATAAAAAATGCTTATATTAAATTTTTAACTTCGTTTATTTACTTTGTTCTTTAATTTTTTATTTATATCTGGGTTGCTATATATATATATATATATATATATAAAAATCTCTTGTCACAGTTTTAGTGGTTAAACTCCTCCTAAACGGCTGGATCGATTTTGATGAAATTNTATACATATATATTACTATAGCTAATTTCATTTCCATCGTTTTTTGGTCTAGTTTTTCCTGATACGTCGCCTGTTAAAATTGTTATGTTAAATCAATTTTAATTTGACATTGTACCTTAAAATCATAAAAAATCCTAATTACTATCCTCATAAAATAAAAAGTATAAATAGCTATACTGTTTATGCAAAATTTTGAATCAACAAATTAAAATGATAGGAATTCTACTCATTTTTTCCTTGCAAAAATGACAATTTTTATTATTTTCACAAAATATAATTCCCAACCAAGTGAATGTAATCGGAAAAAGAACTGTTGGGAAGAACAGTAATTTTTAGCACATAAGTGAAGTGGGCAATAATTCAAATTAAGTGATTGAAGTTTACTAATAGTATTATAATGAGATAAAATGAATCATGATATGTAGTTACAGCTTAGAGTGAAATCTTATTTGTGGTCAAAATAAACTTTACCTTCCATGTACCCGCAAAATCTTCAACATCAGCCATTTTAATGAATTAAAAAACAAGAATAATTTAGCAATCGTATAAAATTATTTCACATATTTTAAAGATAGAGCAGTAAAATTTTAAAATACATTGGCACGAAATTTTGCGCAGAAAACCCGATTCTGAAACCAAAACATAAATCGATTAAATGAAATATCGAAATATCTACATGCAATTCGAAATCAATTAATATTTTTCTATCATATTTAACTAGTTTTATTGAATAATATTGAGTATTTTTTAATTTTGTATAAGATACATCGAATAATATTTTCAGAAAAGCAATATTTATTTATTTTAGCGATCATGACATTGAAAGTGTGGTTAAGCGAGTTAACAATTTTTTAAGAATCGAAGAAACGTCAGCTATTGAATTTTAGTTTCAGAAATCTCTTCGTAAAAAACTGAAACAACTGCTCCGGTTGCATTATTTATGTATAAAGTAAACTTTTCGCACGTAAACTGTAGCTATGCCATTGTATCATCAACAACTTGCATCCAACTAGCAACACAACATCCGCATTACAACAGATTACACGGCTGTTATAGTTCATGACAATAGTTATTTGAATCAATTTTCTCTCATTCTATATTTAGTTCGAACTTTCCGATTCATTACAGAATGGCAGAACTCTCGGAAAAAATATTGTCTTATCTAAACGATATTGGTGACAGTGCTGTTGATTCCTTGCAAATAGCAGAAAAGTTCAACATAGACCACCAAAAAATCGTGGGAGCGGTTAAAAGTTTGCAATCAGCTGGAAACGTAAAAAGCTGTTATCATTCCAATATTTTAACGTTAATGTTTTCCGGTTTTTACTTAATCTGTTTTTTTTATTCTTTTTTCTTCACATAGCTTATAAATGCCGAACAACGAGATAGCAAATTCTGGAAGCTGACAGGAGAAGGAGAAAAAGTTGCTTTGAATGGAAGCTACGAGGCTCTTGTTTTCTATGCAATTCCTCCTGATGGAATTCTACAGCAGCAGTTGATGGTAAAATTGTAATTTTTCTTAAAACTAATTACGGTTGCTAACGATATCATTATTTCTATTGGTAATTATTATTTCTAAACTTAGTTTGTAAAATGCTGAATGGAATTTTATAAATATTTATTTAATTATTACAATGAATGGCAATTAAACTTAAAAAAAGGGAGTTTGGTTTAATTTCCTTTCCTGGGATTGTACAAAAATTGCTAATTCATCAAAGACAATAGTGATACTAAATTAATTGTGGTAACAGTTATTACTAGTTGGGGTAAAATGAGCCACTGGTCTAAAGGACCAGTAACTAAAAGATTTTACTAATAACAATCATTCAATCGATGCGTTTACAAGTCTGTGTTAGAATTTTTTTTTTTAAATAAAGGAAAAGTTGATTGAGCGAATTTGAAGCAAAAATTGTAATGCAGGAAAGGTTTAATGTTGGCAATTATGATTAAGCATTCTATATTCTGTGTAAAAAATTCAGACCAAAGCACAAAACCTTAATTTAAAAAAATAAAAAAAACATTCAACCAGCCTTTTACATTCATTACTGATCTAAGAACCCAATAATATTATTTCCAAAGACAAGTTTCAATGTTCTCTGACCAACAGACTATGGTGAATTTCGAGCCATGCTACTGGTGTTGTGGCATTAGGTATTGTGTGTTAATATAGGTACCGTGGTAATAGATTTTTTATTTGTGCTAGAAATGGTTAGTATCAGGAATTTTTAAGTTTTATTATAACCGAACTAATGGGAGATTTAAGGTCAATTGACCTAAAAATTATAACTTTTCAAAATTTTTAGCAATTTAAATTTATATTTATATTAAATGTTAATATTTTTTGAGAATTTTCATGAAATTTTGTAGCTTTAAAATGCTAGGTTCCCTAAGCCGACTAAAGCATATGCATTTGTCAGCATATGTAATACTCATATCTGCAAAAAGCGTGTAACTTTATGAATGAGGTAAGTTTTTTTTTTTTTTTGTTGCTATAATAAGTAAGTAAGCTATACTTACTTAAAACTAAAAATAACAACTCCTTACCTTTTTTTAAAAAAAAATGTATTTTGAACTATAGATTTAAATTTGAGTCTTTTTTAGAATAAAATCTTGGCTAAGATTTTATTCTAAAAATAATAATTCTAATAAATTGATAATAATATTCTAATAAGGAGATAATATATTTACTAGTGGAAAAAATTTCGAATAACCCAATTATATTTTTTATCCAATGAACTAATGTAAAATAAATAAAGACATTATTTTGAAGATCTATGAATGTATTTGTTGAGTCAAAAAAAAGTATTTAATTGGAAAATAGTCTGCCTTTCTTCATTAAAATGTTGAATATATTGCTTATTACCATTTATTTTTCAAGCAAATCTATTTCCTTCAAAAGATATAAAATGAATATTTTTACAAGAAAAATATTTAGTGATGCCACGACGAAGAATTTATTAAATTGTTAAAAAAAGGGCATTTTATTATCAAGTTTTCTTATGATTATTTTTTCTTTGACTGTGATTTCAATTTCTCAATAAAAGTTTTACTGTTTGCAAAGCAACCAGTTTATTTAGACTCCTAGCGATGGATGTAATTCAAAGAATTTGAAGAAGAATTCATTGGAAATATTTGAAGGTTTCTTTCCAATTAATGAATTAAGAATTTGGAGAAATGCAATTATGCCATTGCAATTAATAATTCTAATTACCAGACATTCTGTATTATTTTGTTATCATACAAGTTTCTGATTGAAAAATGATTTTATTATTCAAGTCTTAAAATATTTTTCTCATTTTATAATTTTTATTATGATTTTTTTTTTTATAAATGTAATGGAAGGATTTCCATATTGATATACGTGCAAAAGTTTTGGTGACAATGTCAGATAAGAAACTAAAAAAGCGAAAGAGACGAAATCACAGAATAGTTAAAACTCCATAGATAAAACTCTTAGAACCATCTACTAAGCAAGCCTGTATACCTATATTTTTTTTTTACTTTATTGTACTTTGTTGCTTAGTAAAACTAGGTACCCTTATGAAAATACTCACAATGCAAGTCATGATTTATTTCGTACTTATTGATTTTTTTTACACTTTTTTAAAAATAATTTCTTTTGTCTATGGTCCAGAAAAATACTCACAATGCAAGTTATGATTTATTTCTTACTTATTAATTTTTTATTACACTTTATTAAAAAATAATTTCTTTTGTCTATGGTTCAGAAAAATACTCACAATGCAAGTCATGATTTATTTCTTACTTATTGATTTTTTTTACACTTTTTTAAAATTATAATTTCTTTTGTCTATGGTCCAGAAAAATACTCACAATGCAAGTCATGATTTATTTCTTACTTATTGTTTTTTTTTTACACTTTTTTAAAATTATAATTTCTTTTGTCTATGGTCCAGAAAACAGTCTCACAAGCTAATGTTGGATTTAGTAAAGCTATGTCTGCTGGTTGGATATATTTGGAGAAAAAAGATGGCAGCACTCTTGCATTCCGCAAGGTAAACAATTTTAATTAGTTTAAATACTAAAAGAAAACACAAATATTTTTAATTCAAAATAGAAAGAACTTCTTTAAAAAAAAAAACGAGCTAAAAAGCAGCAGAAATTTCAGAACAAAGTAGCATTAAAGAAAACGAAGGAAATAAAAATATAAATATGACCACCGAAGCCGACGTCTTCAGGGTGTACCGGCCTTGGTAGCCATAAAAACAAAACCATTTGTTTGAGCTTCTTTTCTTAATTTGTTATTTGTATTTCATGTTTTTTCCTGGACTTCTATACAAAACCATCGGGGTACTGAGGGGGTTAATTTAGGCATTTGCTTCTCCCTCAATTAGAAATGGTTTTGTTTTTATGGCTGCCGAGGCCGGTACCCCCTGAAGCCATCGGCTTCGGTGGTCATATTTATATTTTTATTTCCTTTGTTTTCTTTATTAATTAGTTTAAAAGTATTTTAAATTAATCTCAAAAAGTTTTATTCTAAAATTTAAATTGGGAGAATATTTTAGTATCTCTGAATTTTAAACAAACTTGTACTAATTAAAACCGAAATATAATGAATGCTATTTTAGCTATACATAAAAATTTTCTTTTTAGTTAACGTAAAAATGGAATGTTTTCTGTTTTTTTTATTTAGAAAATCTATTTAGAGAAATATTTTATATAATTTTATAACTTAAATTATCTAATTTTTAACAGTAAAATAATTTTTTTTAAATAATAAATTAATAAAATATTTTTTTTGCACTAATGTTCATAGTTGAAAATTGAAATTCCAAATTTATATTTTTAAAGAGTATTTTATTGCAAAATTAAATCTTTTCAATATTTCTCTCCTACCTTTTACAAAAATTATTCTTTGACTCTTATTCATATCTATTTCTAATAGAAATAAATGCCTAAATCCCATTATTAAACATATTAATAACGCCTTAAAATAATACTAATTTTTATAATGCCAAAAGTAATGTTAATAGCTGTAAAAATATGCATTTTTTATGAATTAATAGCAGAGATATATTTTAATAAACTCATAAAAGTTAGATAAGAGTCTAACATTCTGTTGATTGACAGAGCCAATCAACAGATGTTAATAGTCAAAATTTCTGCATTTTGTTTACATTTAAGGGCTTTTATTTGCATCTGTTTGGGTAAACCCACAATCTGCCTCAGGGAGTTGGGTTATCGAATGTATTCAATTGAGCATGTTACATGATCTTGTTAAATGTTCAATTAAATGAATCTTGTATCTTGTTACATGATATTTATTGGCAAAAAAAGTTTTTTTTTTGCAATTCTTTTTTGTTAAGTTTTAATGAATTAAAATGTTTAATGATTAAGTCTTGTAATTATGTATTGTGTAGATCATATTTTTAAATATTCATCAAAACCTTATTGTCCTTAACTCATTCATTCCTGAAAGAGTTAAGGTCAATGTGTATCTTTTTTTTTTAAAATCCCAAATTGTCTTATATCTAATATTGGACTATTCAATATGGCTATGGTTTGTCATTTTTAAATCATAAAATTATCAATTAAATCTTTGCTTTATTTATCAAACCTGCAAATTAGAATGATGGAAGGGAATCCAATGTATGAAAATAAAAAGTGATTAAATGGATTTGCACAATTATTTCCTGTAACTTAAATTTTACTATACACACTTTTTAATGTTTGGAATTTTTTCCTGCCTAGGTTGATAATATAATTGATGAGGTTCAAAACAATTTGTTAAAAATTCAGAATTCAAGAGGAAATGAAGTCTCAGAAAAAATAAAACAAGAAATGAAAAAGAGAAAATTGTTACAGGAAATGTAAGCAGATAAAAAATTTCTTCCTGTTTTTTTTTTAGATAAGTAAAAGCTATTATACTTAACCATATGACATTCAAATAAAATATACTTTAAATATGGTATCAAAATTATACATTTTGAACAAATATTATCATTATTTAAACTTTCTGACACCTATTGAAATGTGCAAAGTTTTTATAAAGTTAATCATTAATATATTAATTATATATTATGTAATTAATGTATCTATGTATTAATGATAATACATTAATGAAAGTATAAGATATGTCTGCAAATATTCATGATAATATATATATTATATTATAATCATTAATACCTCAAATAAATGTTTCTCATGGGACAACAAATGATTTTCATCATTTGTTGCAGATTGCTGTTCTTTTTCAGCATAATTAGCATAAACACAGAAAGTCTCTCATTATTTCAAAGGCTTTGGAGCTTTCTGCAAATGTTCTTGTTGTGTTTCTGTACCATCATCTTCATCAGTATTAGTTCGCCTGTTTTCAGTTTCTGCAACCATTTTTTAAACCTACTTATCACCACATATCTTAACATTTATATAAAACTGATACATAAACATCCTACGCGATGTTTGGAGCATCTAAACCAAATTGTTACTAAATGTTTGTTTTCTTCTTCATTATTTGTATCATGGGTTTCTGTTCTTCTTCTCAAAACGAAACAACTTTAACTTTCTTCTCTAATCTTGATAAAATTTCTGAATGATTTATGCGGGAATCTTCTAGGTTTAGCAGTGACCGAAACTGATATTATCAACATTATAAGAATAGCTTTTGTGTCAGGACTGGTTAAACAAAATGGTATAAATAAAATATGATGGACTATAATGAAAAATAGTAGACTTAAGTTTAAATGTATCTCTATGTAATGATATTTTTTTTCTGAAACACATCCCAGGAGTTGGCAAAATCTGTGCCCTTTGGGATGTTGCAAGGTGTCCATGACTTCAAATCTAGCATGAATCCTCTAATAGTAATCAGTTCTTATTAGAAAAAAAAATGTTTCTAGATAATGATAGTTTAGAATGTACGTAAGATATTAGTATACTGTCCGAAGTGGAAACACTTTAAAGGTTATGATTCTTTTTACTACTTTATATATAGACTAAGCTTTGTTTTTAGCAACTGTTGTTATATAGAACAAATAATAAATGAATAATTGAAAAATAAATAATTAAAAAAATGTGAGTGACTATATTAAGTTCTCTTTCACGATTTGAAAAGTTACCTAATGACCTGAGAGTTAACTCATTGCACTTTAATTTTACATTATAACAATACTTTACATTTGTTAAAAGCAAGCGTAAAAACTAGGAAAATTTAGTCACTTATCCAAAACATCAGTAACTAAAGGATATTACTAGTCTAATGTGCATATTCACTGCTCCATTTACAAGACTATTAGATTTCTTGAAAAGAAATGTTAATAAAGTGAATTTAAATAAAAGAAATTGCAACGCATAGAATGTATAATGTTCACAATTATGATGAAACATTGGTGATTCTCTTGCACTTTACAACACGTGTAGTATATCAAAAATTGTAGAAGGGACATGAAAAAGTTATGATGCCTTCCCTGGGACACATAATTTTCAAGTGCAGAAAAGAAATACACCGCCAACAGATTTATGTAGACAAAATTATAATCAAACTTTAAGTTTATAGAGAGAAAATTCTTTTTGTTATTAAGAAAGGAGTAGAAATAAAAAGAAAATTAAAATAATTCTGAGTATCAAATTACATAGTTGCTTTTCCTTGTTGCAGCTGTTTAATCAATCTTAATTAAAAACCTTAATAGTCTTAATCTAACTCTTCCTCATTTGAAATTCTTTGATTTGTCTATACATAGATAAAATAATATTATCAATGTGAATATAAATATATTTATAAGAAGGATGAGAATTCATATTTTAAATTGAGAACTGCTTGTAGTAAAAAAAAAAACCTGAAATGAGGAAAATCTGGGCCCTAAGGACCCATAGTTTTCAAACTCTAGTGGAATCATTGAAATATACTATTTTTTGTGATAAAGCTATTTTTATATATGCTATTTTTTGTGATTGTAAGTTGTATATAAATATTTTATCTTTTTTGTGATTTATTAACTGCCCTTTATTTTAAAATCGAGAAATATTTATATAAAAGAGTTACTTAAACTTTTGTATTCAAAATTTTTCTCCCCAACAATATTTGAAAAAAGTGTTACATCAAAGTATTTTAAACTTTTAAATGATTAAAAATGAAATTTGATTTGCAGATTATTTTATGTAACAACAAATACATAGTATTTGGAACTGTTGTTCAGTTTTTTCTCTTCATTATTCTAAATAAAATCAATGATAAAACTTTTCAACCAACTAAGCTTAATTTTTTCATGACGTTTTGCAGAACTGTAAAAAGCTACACTATTACAAAAGGTTCAGAATTTACGACTTTGTTGATGAAGCAAGAGACTGATTTAACACCTGAGATGTTAGCTAGGTAATGTATAGTTAAATATAATTTTGGTTTTAAATGCAATTATGTTTAGTACATCTTTAATACTTGATTTATAGCAATACAAATAACATAATTTAAATCAAATTCATAAATTTGTTTGTTACATAATTGAATTTTATTAGTGCTTGTCTTTTTTTATTTAAGTGCTATTATATTAGTGTTTATTATTCTTTTCATAAAATTGTTTCAGTTTATCTATATACAGGGTATTGCATAACAATCACATGTAATATATATTTTTACAATCTTTATGCGTGTAACATGTATGCAACTAGAGTATTATAAGTAATTTCAATATTATTGTTTTTATTTATTACAAACCAATTTATTGTAAAAGCCCTTAATAGTTTTTGCATGTTGTGAGTAACAAAGGGGTTTAGTTTTATTAATACTATTTCACCAATTGAGTGACATTCAATACACAATCCAATCAAAGTATGAAAAAGATTTAAACAAATATTAAAATAAAAAATTTTAGGATGAAAACTTAAAAGCAATAAGTGAAAATGGAAAAGCAACTAAAACTAAATTTGTCTTATGAAACAATTTAAATAAAAAATTAGAAACCAAAAATAAGCAAAATGAAATTTTAAAGATATATATGTTAGCAAAAACAGTACTTCATCAGGAGACACACTCTCTGCTAACACACTGGACCCTTTCTATAATCTGCGGTTAAACCAAAAGCTGACAGTTCCCCTAGGCTCCATGATAGAAAAACTAAATAAGAAAATGCGATGCCGCAAAGATTCAAATATTGAAATAAAGATGAAAATCCACAAAAAACAAGTCAAAAGTACACTGAGAAAACACTAATAAGGACATGTCTACATACATGAAATATAAAGTTACAGTTAGAATAGCCAAGTAAGATATACAGTGTGTCCCCTGATAAAGTGCTGTTTTTGCTAACATACATATCTTTAAAATTTTGTTTTCTAACTTTTTATTTAAATTATTCAATGCACAATATAATAGTGTGGAAATTTTTCTAAAAAAGTTTTTTTTAAATCAATTTATGAATAGTTTAAAATAGTTGGGGGGGGGGAGTTATCGACAATGCCAACCTTCATCTATCAAAAGGTACCTCTTGATTGAATCAAGTTAGCAAGTCTTATATACCAGTGAATTGATGTTTAATAATCGTAGTGGTAGTTATGCCACAATACTCCCCCACTAGAATTTTATCAGGGATAAAATTCGATGAACGGATGGATACCACTTGTGAAAGACCGGGAAAGCTGGATTAAGGTCACCGGGTTTTTAAGTGCTGAATGTGAGAGGTGTATTAACATCACGGTCGTAGTCACTCCTGTGTTGCATTTAGCAGTCAAGTGTATGCGGGCTGACGTTGTGTATCATCGAGACGAGACTGAGTAGCAACAGCGTGAGGAGGTGGATAATGTCACAGTCACAAGTAGCAAGTCAACTGTTCAATGTGGACCATCCAACGAAGTAGGCGTTACCAGATTGAACTGGCCGTTACTGTCAAGATAGGCGTGATCATATCAACTCCGTAAGTCACCAATGTGGGGGGAGGAGTTATCGACAATGCCAACCTTCATCTATCAAAAGGTACCTCATGAATGAATCACGTTAGCAAGTCTTATATACCAGTGAATTGATGTTTAATAATCGCAGTGGTAGTTACGCCACAATAGCAGTTAATGATACATGTAGATAAATTCACCTTATTTCAGCAGTCAACATGCAAGATAGGCATGTGGTCAAATTACAAAGGTTGTGTTCCCTATTATAGAGGATTCTTGATAATAGATATCAACTTAGACAAATGGTCAACTTACAAGGATGCTCCACTTGTTTCATGCATTTCTCATATGGTTTCGCTGTATGTGGAGTTTTAATTTAATGGAAACGAATACTTCAACTGAAACAGCTGTATAGGTAGATTTATCTTTTGATGATTTGATTTGCGTTTTTTAAAATGCATTTTTGAAATGTCTGATAACAGCTGGATGTTAGCAATAAATGTTGACAGAAACTAATTAGAATGAAATGTTCAAATGTGTAAAGCAAGATTTCAATTATTGTTCATGTTTGTGCTTATTCACCTGACATATTTCGTTATTAAAATACATGATAAACTTTTGGAAGTGCTGTTTATTTAAAAATGTCTCTCTTAGACCTTCTTGATACTCATGCTATCCTCTCTGGGAAGTGTTAAGCTGCTAATGAAACAAAATATTTGAAGTCAACAAGTAATTTTTTACCAACAGCAAGCACTTGGTGCTTCTTGGAAGAACCTTATCATGTGTCCACAAGAACCACCCTAAGACAATTTGGGTTTTGTGTTTCATGATACTGACTGGACACTACTTTCTGCTGACACACTTACACCAATATTTGACTTTCTGACTGCATTTTGTGTGGGAACTTGTTGCCATAAATGTCAAGCATTTCTGGGACTGTTTTGCTATCCAAGACGCCTAAGCATCTTCATATTTTACGATACTCTCCACTGTTGGAGATATCTTTTTTTTTTTTATTGGACTGCAAGACTTATCATGCTTAATAAAGCAAATATCAGGACGTAATTTAAAAAATATTTAGAAAAATGATAAAATTACTTCAAATTCTGCTTGCTTACTTGCATAGCAATTATTCTTTCTGACAGCGAAATAGTAAAAGATGGGAAATATTTCGGAGAGAAAGGGCACATTTTTAGTTGGCACATTACACCATTCAAAAAATGAGTCACCCTTAAGCTGGATCTCCACCAAGAGCAACAGCAACGGGAATCTTGTTGCCAAAGTTGTGCACCGGCGCACAAACCCCGTTTCTCCATGTCGTCGTTGCTTCCAGTTCAAGAGTTGGAAACGAGTAAACTTTTGTTGCCCTAGTAGCCAATCAGATTCGTTACTAGTTTCCGCTCCCAACCCTCGTGTTTTGATCTGTTTAACAGAACACGTGAATAAAGCGAAGCAGCGATTTGAATTTTATAATTTGTTTTCAATTTTATTATTTAGCAAAATAGAAGAGCAATTGATTGACTTTGTGTGAAACAGCCCGTGGTTATATGACTATAGCCGTGCGGATTTTATCTGGGACACGTAAAAAAAAAGAATGATCTTCATATTAAATTTAGTAAGAGATGGAAAAAAAAACAATGAAATACTATTTAGAATTGTGTAGTTGATTTTATTAGATTTAGTATTAGTTCGCTATTGACAGGTTTGAATGTCAATAAGAAAAAAAATATTTAGAGTTTTGTTGCCAAACGTGATGTTAACTTCTTAATCCTTTGAATAACTTGAATGAATTAAATAGCCATTATGAAAATTATCTATATTTGTTCCCAATACTGATTAAATAGGACATATTTTTCACCTACATTTTTTTATGAAATATGTCAGTATTTTAAAACTTGTGTTCTAAGCAATTGGAATTCTCGTTCTTAGGCTTTCAAAGCATAACCTCATCTATTTTTTTTTTATGTAAGCAATTACGATTATTTTGCTGTAGAATGGGTTCTCTAACAATCAAATTATTAATTACTGTAGCAAACAGTGTTTTCCTTGTATTTTTAAATAAGTAAAAAATCATAAAATTATTTACCTAATTTTTCTACAGTGTTTTTATTCAAATCCATTTATTATTGGATTATCCAATATCAGTCTAGCAAGACCCAATGATGGATTTGAGGAGACAGTCTTTTTGAAAGGAGTAAGTTAAAATTTAAATTAACCTTTCAAGTTAAAATTTAAGTTGCAGCAGCTTTGACACTAAAAAAAAATTTTTTTTTTAAAATGAGCGATTCACCCAGAAAGTAAATTGTGTTTTTTTGTCGTCTGCAAAATATTTGATTNTTTTTTTTTTTTTTTTTTTTTTTGTCATCTGCAAAATATTTGATTATGCGAAGAGTAAATCGTATTGATTATACAAGTATTTGGTTATATCATCAATGGTTTGCAGTAGATAATCCAAAAAAATGGTAGAAAAATGTAATCTGCATATCATTCTATTATGCTAAAAGAAAGAAAAACTGATCACTGCAGAGAATGTAGATCTATCTTGCAGACATTGTTGAACCAAACACTGTACTAACAAAAATTAAACTGTATATGATAAGACATAATTTCATCTGTAAAACTATTGTGAAAGACAATAAGCTAATTTCGAATTTATAAATAAAAATCAAAGATAAAGTAAATTCTCCATTCAAAATAATAATTATTGCATTTATCTTTATGGAATCATATTTAGGAAAAGATATTAAATTATGTAATGACTTGTAACCATTATGGAATTATTAAAAAGGTTCATATATCTAACATTCTATTCCTAGCATTTAAAATTTTTACCTAGCTGATTAATAAAAACTTCATTACCCTATAAAAAAATCACAATGAAATTGAAAGTTCGTATTAGCTGAAATCTTTAATAATATGATAAAAACACAGTCTTTCATTCAAGTAAATGTTGAGTTCAATAATAAAAAAATGTTTTAAATATGTAATATAATTTACAAAATAAACAAAAAATCAAAATAAGATGAAAAAAATATATGCATTGCATATTAAAAAATAAACTTTTTTCAAATTTATTCTTTCCATTTTAATAAATAGAACTTGAGCGCTTTCAAACAAAACAAGAGTGTCGAAATGAACAAGGAGATTACGTAATTGTATCACATGATAAGTCTTCTGAGCATGCACTAGACAAGAAGCAGAGTTGTTGCCAATTACCGGTATAAACGACTTTGGCAACAGATTTTGATCTACGTTGCCGTTGCGATCGGTGGAGAACAAGCTTTAGTGCCTTTTTTAAATATCGTTTCCATTCAATAATTTTCAAGTGTTGTTTTTATTTAGATTAATAAGTTTTCCTTTCATTGTTTCCCATCCTCATATAATTAGGTATGAAATATATTGCGTTTTTTAATTATTGGTTTTGTTTTATATTAGTTAATTTGGGGATTTTAATTATTATTAAAAAATAAATATGCAAATGTTTTTATCCTTTTAAATGTTATTTTTCTACCATTATACATTTTTTTTTAAATTTAGGAGATCTTTTTGTTTTTTTCTTATTTTAAAATATGTTTCACTCTTTCCTTGTAATTCGGGTTTGATAAAACATCGATTAACGGCACTGTTGGCCGATTCAGAAAGCTGGGATATTCAGACATTCGGGATAGCGATGATCCCAAGCATCCCAGTTAATTCGTTCTCTACTGTATTTAGATAATCTATAATAGCTATTCACAATGGATATTTAATTAAACTTTGAAAAAATACTTTATACATAATTCTAGATGTGGCTACAGAGAAATGAATGTTATTTTTTATTGACATTCAAGTTAGTTGTGTGACAATAAATAGGAGTTATTAGTCCTATGTCATTGCTTTATCAGTTTAAAAGGTTGCATAGCCAAATTTTTCAACAAAAAATAAGCACCTTTTAAGCACTTTTCAAACACTCAAAAAATATTTTTAAGCACGCTGAAAAATATCATAATTAGACAGGGTTGGAAAGTTATTTATTTATAGTGACAAAGACGCGTTACAAACAATGAAATAAAATTTTCTATCACTAATAGAAAAAAAAATTTACAATGTTTAGTGGGTCCTCGTTATCAGCAAAGATTCGAGAGATTTTTCGATTCCATTACAGAGGGCGGAAAATGAAGTCTGAAATTGAGCAATCTCTAGCTAAATGCAGCAGGGTTGCATATGAGAGTCAAAAATCCTTACCACTGAATCCAGCTCAGTATATGCAAGTATTTCATGAAACATGTAAAATAAATCGTGCTTTCATATACTATAGACTGTGTCGATACATCACGATGCCATGTTACTGTTTCACATTTGGTTTTGCCTAATTCTGCATTTTTGCACAACTCTGCTTTTTATTTATTTGATACTACTGTAAGGTAAAACAAAAACTGAAATTTTATATATATATATATTAGATTTTTAGAATTTGAACTTAGTGCGCTTGAGAAAAGGAGAGAGTAAGTTTAACTAACATTATATTTCATAGGTATATATCATAGGTATTATCATAGGTATATATAACATTCATTTCATAGGTATATATTAACAACTGAGTGATTTATAATTGAATGATGGATTTTATTTCAATAGAGGAAAAGTTATATAAGAAATATAATCAATGGGGAAAAAAGTAAAGATAGGAGTAAATTAAATCTATGACTTTTTATAGCCCGGTATATCAATGTTTTGCAAAAAATATTATTTTAAATGCTTTTTTTCCTATTTTTTTATTATTTTTATTTTGACTATTTTCTTATCTTAGATTAAAATAATTCAAGACGGTCTTTTCAATTTAAACAATAAAAATATATCGGGATATTTAAAATCCAAGTGAAAATTAATATCAATTGCCGAAAATATAATCGAATCATTACACTAATCTACAATTATTGGCGTAAAATTAGCGCATCAAAAAGTTATTATCTAATAGCATGATTCAAATATTGCCAGGGTTCCCACTCAATTTTTTAAAAAAAATTCAAGGACTTTTTAATGACTTTCAAGAACCAAAAATCAAATTCTTCAAGGACCTATTCGGTATTATTGTTATATGCTAAAGTACATGTCAACCAGATTTTACAATTACTTAGAAGTAGAAATTGTATATTTTTATATCACAATGCTTGTCTGACAACAAAAAATTATTTCTTAAATTTATCAGCTAATAAGACAAAATGGATAATAGTACATTGAATCAGAATAGTTACATTGCTGTTTCAAATCATTTAAAAAAAAATCTAATTGAAAAAAAAAAAAAACTCTAATTGACATAGGATACTAACCAAAAGTTAAAAACCAGCATCAGTGAAACTTCGAAAACTATGACTACAAAACCTAAAATTTGCTAGAAATTTCAGTTTTCAAAACGTCAGAGAGATGAACAATAATCTGGTCTGAAAAATATAGGAAATTTTTTTTTTCTGATCTTCTTTAACCTCTTTTCACTTCAAGCAATAAAAATTGCCTCTATCAGAATTTCTATAATTTTTGTTTGAATTTATTTATTATTTTCTTACTACTTTTTTGTTAGAAGAATTAGTAGTATTTTAATTCCTAAAAATCAAGTACTTTTCAAGTACCCTATGGCAGAATTCAAGGACTTTCAAGGTTTTAATGTATCGTGGGAGCCCTGATTACATAAAATGCCTGTAGAAAAGAAAAGTAATTTTTTTCTTTACTTTTCATAAGAAAAATCTTTCTGTAAGAACTCTGTAATGTCCTGCTCAATGATTATGCCACAAGGAAAGACCTCATCTGCACAATCCAAGTGCGTATATACAAATACTGATTATATGACATGAAATGCAAGAAAGAGAGAAGGGAAAAAGAATTACCCGATGTGGTGCCACGATAGCAGTAAGAGATCTTTCGTCTAAATCCTGAGGAGGCGGTTGATGTCTATCATCAGGAGGCATATAGGGAGCTTCGTAAGCAGGAAGAGGCTGAAAAGTAAGGAGTAGACTACATCAATGGATTGTTATATACAGGGTACCTGTTACATTTCAGATTTTCAAATTCATGACTTTCCAGGAATAATTCAAAGAACTTTTCGTGACTTAACGAAGTTACTATTTTCTCCCGACAAAAACAGAATAAATTTAAAAAGCATTATAATAACATTCATTGAAATTATAGGTATAACTAAAACAGTTATACTCTGCATCTTTATATTTATAGATTTTCAATTTAAAAAACAGAGTAAAGAAAGAGTTGAAACAATAAAATAGCTTAAAAAAATACAAAAGCAAATAATTTATTTCCTTTTTTTTCTGCAGAATTATAATCTAAAGATACTTTGCCTGTTCATCGGAAAGGAAAAAAATACTCCTGATTTCGATGTTCTCACTTTGGAATTTAAAAAAAATTCGCCGACAGGCTTGCTTCAGCTAGAATTTTAAATGGATAAAATAAAAAAAATAAATAATAGTAAAAATTCTGAAATCACAGAAGTTTAAAAGATAATTCATTCCAGAAATGTTTTTTCATTCATTTTTTGAAAGAACACCATAATTTTTAAAGAACATGATGAAAACATTTTATATTTTAATAAAACAAGACTGAGTGGGGATTTTGTTAGAAATTCAGATATTCAGAGCACTTTGAAATTAGGGAGAGGGGTAAAATCCATTCTGAAAACTTGGTGACCTATTTCAATGATTTTTCGGTGACCTAAATCTATGACTTTCCATGACTTTTTTTTAAAAAATAGTTAAAATCATGACAAATTTTGTTCAATACCAAAATTCATGATTTTTCATGACTTTCCAGGCGCGCGGAACCCTGTCTACAATAACTCCATATATTTTATTCGATAATTTATTTGATTTGTTAAAATAAATATTTAATTTGATAATTTAGTCAATGGCAAAATTATCAAGTCAAAAATTTTCCAATAATTTATTTCATTCATTTTTATTCAGTTATCATTATGTGTAGATAATTTTCCTTTTTGAAGACTTCTATAAGAAAAGAAAAGGTTACAAGTATTTCATCAATATGAAATTGAAATTTGTATTTTACTCAATCTTGCATGCATTTTGTCATGCATTTTTTTTTAAACATAAAAAATCTAAGAAATAATCTTAAAAGGATTAAACACAGGGTACAATAATACAAATTACCAAATTCAACTTGGAGCCAGGTTTGATCTATCCATTTAAAGTTTAAGGAAAAGAACTTTGCCCACTTCAGAATGATTATTCAATTCTACAAATACTCATTACTAATTGCAACAATTACTCATTTTGTTGTGATCTAATAGAACACAAATAATGCTTTTTAACTACTTATTTTTTTAAATATTGTATTGAATTGATTATTATTTTATTGAGATCTTATTATTTTATTCAGAACTGTATTGAATTTTTAAAATATTGTATTGTATTGAATTGAGTATTTTGATCACAATATTTTAAAAAATACTGTATTTTTTAAAATATTGTAATCAAAATACTTTATTTTGTTTAATAAACTTATCAAAAGATTGTAAGTATGATCAAACATACATTAAGTAAAGTTTCTTTGAGTTAACTTTCAAATTAATTATTAATTATGGACCAATCTTCTGGGACCAATCTACCAAACCAGGAGCCATATTTTCCCTTAGGGAAAATAAATAAACCTTTACTGGTAGCTTTAATCAAATGAAATTTTTAATCCATCTGAAATTGAACTTGTCCCGCTCAATTTAAGAATAAACCTGAATATACCTTATACCTGAATATACGTGATTTCGAAATATTGGTTAAAAAAATTGTTATTAATTGTTTCAAAGACTTGTTCAAGTCGGTATACAAACATAACTGACAACATGATAGGAAAAAATCCAGTAAATTCTATGAAATAATATAAATTTCATGATAATTGTTGGGATTTTATAATCATCAAAATAAAAAAATTGCAATATTTTCCAGCTATAATTGACATTAAACATACCTGAAATGCNTATTTTAAAATATTGTAATCAAAATACTTTATTTTGTTTAATAAACTTATCAAAAGATTGTAAGTATGATCAAACATACATTAAGTAAAGTTTCTTTGAGTTAACTTTCAAATTAATTATTAATTATGGACCAATCTTCTGGGACCAATCTACCAAACCAGGAGCCATATTTTCCCTTAGGGAAAATAAATAAACCTTTACTGGTAGCTTTAATCAAATGAAATTTTTAATCCATCTGAAATTGAACTTGTCCCGCTCAATTTAAGAATAAACCTGAATATACCTTATACCTGAATATACGTGATTTCGAAATATTGGTTAAAAAAATTTTTATAAATTGTTTCAAAAACTTGTTCTAGTCGGTATACAAACATAACTGACAACATGATAGGAAAAAATCCAGTAGATTTTATGAAATAATATAAATTTCATGATAATTGTTGGGATTTTATAATCATCAAAATAAAAAAATTGCAATATTTTCCAGCTATAATTGACATTAAACATACCTGAAATGCTGTGTATTATGTATACTCATAATTTCTAATATTAAAAAGCATTTTAATGCAAAGATAGTTAAGATTTTTTAACTTATTTAAAAAAGTGAGTTCTGCATAAAAATAAACTGAACATTTTAGAACAACAAAAAATAAAAAATTCGAACTGATTTAAGGTTAAATGAGGTTTGCTTCATTATGTATTAGTAATACTTATTTAAATAATTCAAGTAATAATCTGTACAAAAATTCTATTTCAATGAGGAATTTCTCAGGAAATTTTTCTCAAATTTAGGGAATTTTCTAAAATGTACAAAAATTAAGAGAATTTTAATTAAACCAGTAGACTGTGAGAAATTGGAAAATTCCCATAGTCTACTGAAAAATCCAGTAGAGTTGGCATATATGTACAAAGCAGATTTGCCAAAAAAAAGTATTTTTGCCATCGGCGGATATTTAATCTGCAAAAAAAAAAAAAAAAATTTCTAAATTTATTCAACTAATATGGAGAAATTTGAGAATATATGGGTAAACAGGAGACTTGGCAGGTACGCAGTCTGTTAGTTAATAAGAGTTGTTTGCTTTCTACCTTCTATTTCTACACAACTTATACCTCAACTTATTTCAACTTTACATTGTCCAAATGAGAAGAGAAAAAAAATTTCATTCAGAAATTTGTGATCCTGTATGTTTAAGCACTCATGCTTTTGACTGTTCTCTCGCTTGATATTAGCTTTTTAATGCAATGCAGAAAAAAACTTTTTTTTTAAACAATTGGTGTTTTATTTAAAATAGATAGCACAAATAGAAAGTGATATTGATAGAAACAACAAAGTTAAACCACTACCATTTCCAAAATTTGTAGAAGGCTTTTAAAACTTTGAGGAACTTTCTGCATTCACAAGAACTAAAGAGAAAGTAATATCCAATCAAATTTTGAAAATTTATTACTTGAGCTTTTTGAAAATTTATTGTTGAGAAGGAAAGAGTGTTATCTAACTAAAATTTTCAAATAAATAAATGTGTTTATTCCTCTCCCTTTTGCAAGCACGTAATTGCTCAATTAAAAAATTAAATATAATATTTTTCAAAGTCTATTACTTTTCTTGCATTTTGAAGTCGTTATTTGATATTTTATGTGACATATATTTTGTGACATACATGTTTTTTGCCACATATAAATTTTATGTGACATACATTTGTTTTCCCATATGCATAGCTGCTAATATGGATCAGAAATATTTTAACAAATAATATAAATTTCATAATAATTGTTGCAGAATGTACTAAATATTTTACACATAGGGAATTTTTGGGATTTTTGTAGTCATCAAAATAGCAAAACTGCAATATTTTCCAATTATGATTTTACGTCTAACATACTTGAATTGTCATGTACAGTCAAACCCAGCTATAGTGAACCTTCAAGGGAACGAAATTTCGGTTCATTATAACCAGGACAACACTAAAACCGTTCGGCAAACAATTCTAACTAATAGTTCCAAACTCCCCCCTTTTATTACACATTATCTAAATAAATGATCAATGAAATGAAAGAAAAAAATGACTGAAAAATAATAAGTAGTAACAAAAATGTGTCAACTTTTATTATTTATTACTCTTCATCTTGCGTACCAAAATAATTAGTAAAGTTTAGCCAATGAGCAATCCTCAACATCAGATTAAGAAACATTTCCAGACTCTAAAATAATTTTTCCTGAATTTATGTTATTCCGCTTTTTAAACCTGTCTAACTAGAAATTTGAGAACATAAAAGTAGCCTCACCAAATGGCTCAGCAAATTCATCGGCTTTGACTTGAAGCATTTGTCTAGATCAGTGGTTTCCAACTGGCGGCCTGCGAACTTTTTTTTGCGGCCCGCGAACTAAAATATATTAATTGTCATTTTTTTTGTGGACAATTTTCGTAATTTTTTTTTATGGGTTTAAAATACTTTTCTCGTTAATAAAAACCTAATTTCTTTGTTTCTGTGAAATTTAACATACCAACGGTGCAAAAAAATTCATTTCTCAGATTTTGCACCCAAGAAAACATTTATTCAAATACAAAAATAATCGTGTATGTTGCTCTTTTTTATTTCATTTTTTTGTATTTTGTGAACATAATTTAGCATGTGTGTATCAGAAATTTTCTCGAAGAAATTCTCCGATTTAACTTTTTGAAACCACTAATTTTGGACAAAAATATTTACAGACACATGTGTAAATTTTAAATTCAAAATGTAAATATCTATTCTCTGGAGGTTGCAGCAGACACTCATTGAACATTTCATGTGCTACTATCTAAGTTTTAATACCAACATTTTTAAAGTTTTATATCTTAACAATAAGATATCTGTTGCACAATAATTGTTTAATACATAGGTGCAAATTAAAGTTATTGTAGCCCGAATTTTTTAATATGCAATTAAATATTTTTAAAAATCTACTTTTTATTTTAATTTGTAATTCAATAATTTTGTTTTGTACAAAAATCTGACAGCAATATTTAATATTCCTTCAAACATAAAAGTGTGCTACATAAAATTTTGATAACGTTGCAGCCCGCCATTTGATGTGTTTTTAATTGTGGCCCCCGGCCTCACGTAAGTTGGAAACCCCTGGTCTAGATACTGGAGGGTGGTAGCTTCTTTGAATGCTGAATCAATTCAATAATGACGCAAACAAGAAAAAATGCTTATTGCTACATTCTATGCTGCAGATGGTATTTTAAAAATCGGTATATGTGTTTATTTTGAAGTAGAAATTTCAAAATTATTGCAAAAAAAATGAGGAAAATAAATCAGTCGAAGACAGAAAAAAGTTCATACTATCCAACTTCCTCTCTTTTTCGTTTCACTATATCCACAATAAATATATGTGCATGTAGCAAGGCACGGGAGCGACCATTTCGTTCACTATATCCGGGTTCACTAAAAACTGTGTTCACTATACCAGGGTGTAACTGTACTATGTTTACTCATAATTTCGAATATTAAAAGGCATTTAATTCATCAAAGATAGATAATATATAAATATAGTTTTTTTAAAATTAATTTAAAAGGAGAGTTCTGTAAATTTACAACGAAAAAAAGTTTTAAAACTGATTTCTATAAATAAGGATCACTTCATTATGTATAAGTAATACTTATTTAAACATTCCAGCAAGCAATCTGAGCAAAAATTCTATTTCGATAGGAATTTTTTCAAATAAACTAACTTAATTTTAGGGAATTTTCTAAAATGCACAAAAACCAGGAGAATTTTAAGGAGAGAAACCCCACCATAGAATCGAGTTAACATGTCTTATATACTAGTGAATTGGAATTATATTTTTGCAGTGGTAGATACGCTACAGTAACACCCCCCCCACCAGAATTATAGCTGTGATTGAATTCAATAAACGGGTACTACTAGTCGATTCATTGCTGTTTTGTGTGAGAAGCTGGGAGAGCTGTATTAAGATCACCGTACTTTCGAGTGCTAATCGCGAGAGCTGCTTTAAGTTCACGGTCGTCGTTACTCCTGCGCTGCCTTTAGCGTTCTAGTGAATACGTTGCACGTGATCGAGACTGAGAAGTAACAGTGCAAGGAGATGGATAATGTCGCAGTCACGAGTAGAAAGTCAACTGTTCACTGAGGACCATCCATTGAAGTAAGACGTATTCAAATCGTAGTGGGTGCACTTTTTTCTTCACATCACATCCGAAGGTCACCAATGTGGGGAGAGTAGTTATCGTCAATGCCATCGATGAAGAAAAGGTACCCCACCATAGAATCGAGTTAACATGTCTTATATCAGTGACATGCATGAATAAAAATGGGTGAGAATTTCTAACCCTTTCTCAAAAACAGGGTGAGATTTCAAAAAGTTAAGTGAGATATCTAAAAACTAAAAAAACACAAAAACTCTTAAAAATCAGTTCTTTAATTACAATATATTTTTAACGTTACCTATTTTTTAAAACATTGAACATTTTTGGTGCATCATAGAAGATTTTGCCTTTACAAGGTATTTGTCCATCCTACATTAGTTCATAAAAAATTTGAATGTCTTAGATGAAGTAACCTTACCTACGGTAGGTTGCAGAGAAATGTGTTCTGAAAGGGGTTCCGTGGTTGTGTTCTGTTGTTCGAAAAGGTTCAGAACAATACTGGTAAATAGGGAAGCTAGATAATGGGGCAGATGTTGAAAATAATGAAAGATCCACGAAGAAAAGTGAAACGGATTTCATTCTAAATGGCGTAATTCGAAGCTATTTCCAAAATGCGAGAAATTTACGAATTTTGAAATTGATTTATAGAATGCGCAAATTTCTCACGGTAATCATTTTTTAATGCGAGAAAAGAAAAAAAATATGTGAGATTCTCGCGTTCTCGAGCTGTAGTGAAAACAGTGTATACACTAGTGAATTGGAATTATATTTTTTTTAATGGTAGATACACTACACATATGTAAGGAATTATCCCATGAGATTAAAATAGTGATCACGGAATATTACCGGTTGCAAAGGACTACTTGTGGGCCCCTCTGATGGGAAGTCTTCAGAATGTGGAATTTCAACGTCCATGGAGGTGGTCTGTTGTTGTTGCTGTATGGATGAGAGTTGTTGCAGTTGCCTCAAAAGGTCTGGATTGGAAAGGAGGTTCTGAGAAATGCTATAAAAAAGAAACATGGCATTAACACACATAATATAAGTCATATTTTTATATTACAAGGTAGCTTATTTCTGGTATGTCAGCAGCGTTGTCACTCAAACATACCTGCATAGCTGCCAACATGGATACAGGGTTGCCACAGAAAAAAATGAACAAAATAGTTGCTTTTAGTAGCCTAGAGCATGAAAATAGTTGCCAGAATAAGGACAAAAATAAGACAAAAATTTTATTAAATGACTTAATTGTCATACACCATGATCCATTTAGTCAAGTTGGTGGCAAATATGATAATTTTTATATAAAAGTTAGTGTTCTAGCTCTAAATTTTTATATTAAAAAAAATTATCATATTTGCAAAAAATTAAATACTTTTAATTACTAGAATTCATTCAAAAAATACTTTTTTATTTAAAAAAGCACACTTATTCTAAGAACTTTTCCCCTTTATAAATAATTGATTTAGCAAATATATATTCTATATATATATATACAGTGAAAAGTCATTAGTCAAACTCAAAATTCATGCATCGTAATATCGTATTAAAAATTCGTTTTTTTAAAATTGTGCAGAATTTCATAGCTAAAACCGTGGAAAAGGCGATCGAGAAACGAAATAGACTTACGATAGAATCTGTGCAAATTGAACGCATTAAAAAGTGATGACTCAAATTTGCAATCTAAAATTTTTTTCATTTTTTAGTGTTTTAATTATTTAATTTTTTTAACATTTTATTATTTTTATTTTACATTTTTTAAGAAAAGAAATTCAGTGTGTTCAGAGGATTTCGCGGTTCGCAAGTTTTCAACCCAATTTATGCTAAAAAACATTGCTAGGAGTACAGAAAAGTCTCCTAATAGTCTCCTTTTCCTGAAAATAGTTGTTGTTTTTTTAGCCTTTTCAGGCAAAATAAGCTTCCATAGTCGTCTCATGCTGAAAATATCCAGTAGATTTTACGAAATTATATAAATTTCATAGTAATTGTTGCATAATACACATAGGGAATATTTTACACATAGCAGGGATGAGATTAGCCAAAAGGCAAAAAAGCTGAATTTCCACGATAGTAAATTTTACGCAAGCGCAACCCTTTAATAATAAATTCCAGACAGTTTAAGGTAATAAATAATGTGTTGACATACAATTGTGTACTAATCTATTATTATATAAATGATTACATTGATACTTAACATTTAGTGAAAATAAAAATTACCAATTGAAAAAATAAAGCTGGAAATTATATTTTTCCTCAGTTCACATAAGAGACAATTATTACTTGAAAAACTACCTGGTTTAGCAAATTAAA